TCTCTAAAAATCTGTGTTAATTTTGTTTTTAAATTTGATTTCAATTTTTTGTAATTTTTATAACAAATTTTCGGAAAATGGCTCTGCAGAAATTTATCTAAAGGTTGCACTTCTGAGCCCATAACTTCTCTTACAGACATACGATTTCAAAGTTGCATAACTCTAATTGATTGTGGTTAGTTCTTTTAAAATCTATGTTTTCAACTTGGCTTTTATTTTTGTGTCGATTTTTCGTAAAAATGGCCTCGCAGAAAAGTGACCTAAAACCTGCACTTCTAAGTATATAACTTTTTTTACAGACATCGGATTTTAAAGTTGCATTCTTCTTCATATTGATTGTGGTTTAATTCTTTAAAAATTTGTTTTTTAAACTTGGTTGTATTTAATGGTCGATTTGTTGTCATTTTTATAATTTTTATGATAAACTCCTATCGAAAAAAAATTACAAATTTTTTTTAACCGATGTTTAAAGTTATTCATAATCAATACAAAAGACAAATTTAAGTTGCAGTGTACAAGCAAAATCAATCAACAGTAAATGGACGCGTCAAAAATCAGCAAATGTGAAATACTCACCCGCAGCCCATCTCCTCCCACTTCCTCCCACCCAATCGAGGTGAAAGGTTATAAGGGTCCTCTGGGCTCCTCTCGATTGCCACTCCCCCATTTGCCCACTGCCTCCAGGACCCAAAAGTAAATGAAGCGAATAAAAAAAACGAAAAACGCAAAAGCGAAAAAGGAAAAGGCCGCAAGCAATCGATGAATTCATTTTTGGCATTCACCGAAATTGTTCAAACAATTATCGATATGAATAAAAGACGCAAGCTTTCTCGGGCGATTTTTATGAATAGCAATCTTGAACGCCATTGAATTTTCGGTTGGGAATTATTAGAGGGCCCCCAAAAAGCAGCCCTCCAAACAAAATTCTCGATATTCATGAATTCGAGTGGTGAAGTGAAAGAGACTGAAGTTGACTCAAGTGGTTTAGCTGAATTAATTATCGATAACGAGATAACGATGTGTATTTTTTTCCATTGGTCCTTTTATTAGTATACTAAAAAGTTAGTAAAAATATTTATAGATGTTCTGCCGATAAGCTATTCAAAAATCAGGAGAAGCAAACTTATTACAACAAGCAATTATTGCGTCGGAAAAATGTCATGTAAACATCTAATTTGCATTTGGAGTGGCATTTATTTTAGGTCATCAATAACATTTGAGCCTTTATATCAGAGTGTTTAAGATAATATTTGTTTCCATAAAAATATATAAACAAAGAGATTTTAAATCACTTACTTACTTTCTTTTCAAAAACAGCAAAATAAATACGTAAAAACAAATTAAGAATGTACACATCCGAGAAAGTAATCGTGTTTAATAATCCACAAAGAAAGAAATCTATTAAAATTTTTAATTTAAAAATAACACAAATCAAAGCAACCTCAATACTGAAATATTTGCCATAAAAGCGTGCCACATAGCAATAATTAACTTTTTGAGTTCCCCGAAAAGGCCAAGTACCTCATGAAAAACAAAAGCAAAATATTAAAATATGGAACGCATTGGAAGGAAAAAAATAAAGAAATCAGATATGATGACTCGTCGGCTATGACCACAGACATATTTATATATATATAATGTTTATATATATATATAGATACCCGCACTGACGTCGAGTGAGTGAATCGTAATGAGTTTTGAAATGTACACCAGGACCGCTCTGTGTCATTACGGGACAGAATGGAGAAAGGGGCCCCCATCACTGCCATTAGCATTTAGTCGGTGGGGTGGAGGGATATATATCCACCTCTGCAGTGCCACATCCACAAGAATATCAAGAATATTGAACGGGATGGGTCGGTTAATTGGAGCGCATGATTGATTACAGTTTCCATTAATTACGCTCACTTTGCTCGCTTTTCTGGTCATTAACCATTCGACAGAGGACTTTGGGAAAAAGTTATCAACGAAACCCGGCAGGGTGATGACTTTTAAAATTCAAAAGATTAACCAAATAAATCAAGATTCGATCTGGAGGGGAAAGCAAGAGAAAGAAATGCGATTGTCCATTAGCTAAACAAGGGAGTACTTAAGATTCCCAGGGGTAAGATACGGATGTTCCTGTATAGAGAACTTTCTGGGAACGCATCTAAAAACTGTTATTGGCATCGGGATCCCGGATCTATTTATGGCAAATTCCTACACCGCAGACATATTTCACATTCAACACGATCGCTCCCAAAAGCACACAAGTGCATTCAGATGTATATCTGGGATATCTCGCAACGCATCGTATAGAAAGCGAAAGCGGCGACATCCAGACGAAATGAGTTGCAAAAAAAATCTGTAAAAAAAAAAGAAATGAAAAGCACAACCAAACAGAACCGAAAAATTTCAGGGGAAAAAGTGTAAAAATATTTGTGTTTTCTTTTCAAAAAAGTTTATTTGATGTATTTTTGGATAATAGGTTGGGAAATAAACACAATTGACATTTTATTTACAATAGTAGCAGTGGTATGGTGAATGTATTTATGTACATTGGGTTTATGATCATTGTTATTTACAATAAAAATAAGGAATGTCTAATTGGGGTTTTTGTGTGTATTGCTTAGCGATGGGTAATCAACAATGATTTTAATGCGAGCAACTTTAGTGCCTTTCGAGACAATAAAAGAGCTGTTAGCATATTGACTTATGGTTGGGCGCAGTAATAGTCTTAGATCAAGGGGTTTTTAAGATTAGGTCTTTTTAGTAGAGAAAAGATTAAAATCTGTTGAGCTTCTTCTTTATGATATTTAAATAACCCCAATCGTTTACGACACTTTAAATCGTTCTCGTTAAATTAATACCTTGCACTTTCTTTTGATGAGTTCTAATATTTGTTCTTTAAGTTTAATCTTCAGGCTAGATAGATTAAGTCAAGTGACACACTACTAAATGTTTTTCAATTGACCTTCTTGAAATGTTATTACAACTCCGATACTCCTTACAGTGTTTGCATTAAATTTCTGACCCAATTGCAGTTATTGCCCCACTCAATATGCTTTCAATTTCCGCTGTAAAAGTTCAGCATAAAGTTTGGCTTAAAGTTCAAACCCATTCGAGGTCTTAAAGGTTGCCCAATTGTACTAAATTATTTATTTTTAGTTATGTTTTCGGGTTCGACCACAAACTCAATTTGGCTCTTCATGAATTTTCAATGTGCGTCAAAAGGGGGAGAACGGGAAAGGGGAAAAGAAGAAGTACGGTGACGGGGTCATTGTTTTACTGGGTCTGAAAATTTCATATTCCGTTTTACGAGGACTAATCCTTATGCATTTGCATGACCGTACGCAAGCCAGTTACACAGTGTTCTTTCCTTACTGCAGAATACCAAAACGTGAGTTATCGGTGGTGTGGACGGGGCCTTTTCTTCGGCTCCGGAGGTCCTGTTGGGTTCCTTGAGGTCCTTCCTTTGATTGCACAGCACTTGAAAGCTCCTGTTCTCCTTTGGCTGCGGTTTGCGGGTGCTGAGCCAACTTGGCCTAATCTGCATATACTGCACGGAGAGCAAGAATGTCAAGTATTCCGCACTTGAATCCCGTTTTCCCATTCCAAAAAAAAAACATAATAGACAGCTGTGGGGTTTGTGGCGGTCCAAAAATCTATTCGAGCCCTTGTCGGTATGCGAAGTTGGCCTAATTTTATGAACAAAACTTTTGCTTGGGTTCTTTCCACACAATTTGGGGGAATATTTAACATAGCAACAACGATTTTTGATTTATTTATGAGATTGTGGGCACTTTAAAGTTAATTTCGGGGAATTTTGGTATCTTTCAGAGGTTTTAGATTTGTGAAGTCTATAATTAATTGTGTGGTTAGGCAAGAAATACTAAAAATTATGTTAGAGTTGCTTAATAGAGTTCTCTTAATACAAATTTAATAAAATTTGAAAAAGTTGGTAAAAAATTAATCTAAGACCACGCATGCTATCACTTTCAGGCAATTTTATCTGAATTCATAAAACTGTTATTGATTGCTTAGTGCATTCGTAGTTTATTTGCTATTTACAAAAAACTTATTATAATATATTTTTTATTCAGTATATTCAGAGTGTAATTAATAATTTTGGGGTAAATTCATAAGGATCAATTTGAATTATTTATACTAAAAGAAAGTCCAACTCTTTTTTCATTTTTGATTGCTTTTCAACCAAAATAAGTTATTTATCTGGATAGTTTTTTGGGAGTTACTCAAGATGACAAATTGTATTATTATTTTTTTTTTATCTAAGAAAAGCTTTTAATTTTCTTTAATATTTTTTCAAGTATATCTTATTGCTTTTGATTTTAAGATTTCATAAGTGTGTTATCAAATATGAAAGTTTAGGATATTAACTTCACAATTTTGAAAGGGAGAAAACTCCCTATTTCTTTTGTTTCAAATTTTTAAACAACTTTTACTTCTTCTAGGTTTCGTCACATGTCAATTTGGTAATTAGTTTTGTGAAAGTTACTTAAGATGACAAATTTCATTTGCTATTGTTTCAATCTGAATTGGTCTCGTTTCTCTCATATAGGAGAAGCTCTCAACTTATAATGAACTTTAAGACTTCTTCAACTTCTAACACTTCGCTCCTTAACACATCTTAAATGTGTATTTGTTACTGGTTTTCCCAGGACTTTTTCTTCCAGTGTGTGTTGGTGTGTGTGAGTGAGTGTAAGTTTCCAACTACAGCTGTGGATTGAGGAATGTGCACGCAGAACTCATTTGGCATTTCCCCTCGCTTCCTTCTGCTCCTTTTCGCTTCTGTTCTCTGCCCTTTTGTCCTTTTCTGCCGCTACTTGCACTTTGGTTACAGTTACTTGTCGTTCGTGTTGGTATGCGAAGTTTTGCATTGTGTGTGTGGGTGTGAAAGTGCAGGCGGTTTGTGGGTGCGTGTGTTAGTTTGTGTTAATAAATATGCTATCTTTGTTGTAGTTGCAGTTGTGGTGGTAGTATGAAGTAGTAGTGGTACCCACTTTGATATTTTGCAACGCCTTCCAGTAATGTTCGTTGCTATCGTTGTTGTTGTTGTTGTTACTGTTGTAATGACTCCTTTAGTTAATAGCTGGTCCCGCTGGTGATGTTGTTGTTGTTATTGTTTCTGCTGCTGCTGTTGTTGTTCTTGTTGTTAGTATGATAAAATCGGCAATATTTGGCACGCGCGTGTCACTGTGTTGGTACAAAACGAAAATGCAGCTGCTCTTCGTCCATATTGCCATTTATGCACATGCATGTGTCCCTGTGTGTGTGTGCCTGGTGTGTGTGAGTGTGAACGCGCGCGACAAAGACGGAAAATTCGGTGGACTTATGTATTGGGGAACTGCAATTGTTGTTGTAGTTGCTCCTCTTGTTGCTGTAGAATTTGCGTTTGTTGTCGAATTTGTTGCTGCTGCATTTTCCTTGGCATTTCCATGGGCCACATTGGGCGCTCTTTTTTCTGCACTTTTTAAACAATTTTCTCAATTTTTTTTTAAATATATATCAACTATAGAATAACATGAAAAAAATATATATTGTATATATATAGATGACAAGGGGATATGACTTGCATCTATATATATATTTATGTGTACGACACCCACGACGACAACGACGAACGAAGAGCATTCAACTCCACTGCCTGTCGAATTTTTACGAGTTTCTTTCTATTAGTTTGATTTGTTGATGCATCTGTGCCTGTCTATTCTGGTTCAGCTTTTTACCCGAGGGGCAATTTAAATCTTTCCAAGTGTTAAGTACCTAATAGCGTTTACATTTGGCAAACTTTGCTCGCTGCCCTCGGGTCACTTTTACTCTCTTTTCCGCTCAAAGTATTGGTTTGGAATTAAATCTAAGCCTCTGACTACCGATCCTGCCCTCTCTACTTCCACTCTCTTTTGGTCTTAAAACCTATTTACACGATCAAAGTTTTAATTTTTGAATTTAAAATTTTATTATTAAAGGTGCACAATTTTGTAATAAGCTTGGAATACAGATAAATATACATTTTATATTATCTATTATATTTTATGACTAGTGTACTATTAAGAAACAAATTAATATAAAATCTCATTAATGTCATCAATAAATTCTATATTGTTTTTTTTTAATTTATAGAGTACCAAGAAATACCAAAAACTCTGAATAGAATCCAGGTCGTGTAAAGAGGCCTTAAAACCCTTTTACAGTTAAGATCTAAGCTGCTCACAATTCTTTGTGTCCTTCATTAGGTCATTCTTTTGAGATCTTATCTTGCCTCGCTTTCTCTTTTGCTCACTTTGAGATCTAAGCTTCTATCACTGTCTCAATTCTTCGTTGTCTTTTGTGGCTCTTGTACCTAAAGCTGTTGTTTTTGATTAATCCACCTTACTGTGTGTGTGTGCCAGTGTGTGTGGTGTTAAAGTTTTTTCTTTTTTTGGAGTGCGCGGCGTAGAACTCTCAACTCAACACACAGACAGACAGACACAGCATATAACGGGATATAACGGGACGGAGGGCGTCCGTCTCGCTTTCACGTTGATGTTTCCGTTAGTGTTGTTTGTGCGATACTGACTCAATTTGTTGCTCGGCACCGTGTATATAGCGTGCTTCTTCTTGCTCTTCGCTCGGCTAACGGTCGGTCGGTCGCTCGGTCGGTCGGTCGCTCTCTTCCTTTCTCCCGCTTTCCCCTGCTTTTCCTAGCTTTCTCCCGCTTTCTTTCTCTGTCGCACTTGTGGGTGGGAAGTCGTTTAGTCCGCCCAGCGGCGTCGACAGTTAACTTTGTCTTTTATCGAAGGGTGAGGGGGATGAGATAAAGTTTGGGTTGTCTAAGTGAAAGGAAAAAACCCCTAAAGGTATGCTATTTTTAGATTCAATCTCAAAAAACTCCATGTTAAAACCTAATAACACATTCATTTTTATAACAAGAAACACTTCAATAACTTGAGTTTGAAAGCAATTTTATTTGAATTTTTGAACTAGTTAAGGACCGAGCTGAAAAAACGGTTCTATAAGAAATAAGAGAAAGCTGGAAATTGCAAAAAACAAGTTAAACAAAATATATAAAACTTTAATTTAAACACCTTATTTGCAAATGTTCTTTGGTATGTATTATTCAAATATCTGGCTTTCTATCAAATCAAATGCATGAAACACTGGGCGTACGTGTCGTATGAGTAATATTTGGGACAAAAGTTAAAAGCTAGAGTTCTGGATTGTAAATACACATTACTTTTGATCCCCCTTGTAAAGCACTCCCAACGGCACCACTGGTCTACACTTGCCACTTGTGTGCCTGAAAAAAAACAGCATACAAGTATAAAGACACTTCGTTGAGTGCAACTGAATCGGGAATCGGGAGTCGCTACTCGGAATCGAAAATGGAAACAAAATGGAGTCAGAGTTAAAATCGGAGTCGAGGTTGTAGCCCCGATTCCTACAGGAGCGGAATATCTACAAGAGAACTAGAGTGTTAACGTCTGTATCGGACCATTAAACAAAATTATAATTAATTAAGATATAAATGCTTTGTTTTTTTTAAGACATTTACTTAAATCAGCACATTTTACGGTCTATTTAAAACGGGGAATTACGAATATTAGCCTAATTTCACTCGGATCAACTGAAACTGAATGGAAGATTAGAACCCAACTGCCCATTTTCTTATGCTCTGGTTGAGCTGTAAGTGTCCATTAAATTCATTAGAGTGACTCGGCACTTGTCAGTTTTACTGCCAAATTTCAGTTTTTATAAGTATGAGAAAGCAGCCAAGGAGCACTTAACATTGACCTTAAGATGGTTAGACCTGAGGTTCAACTTTAAATGCAAATGCAAAAGCTTAAATTTTAATTTATTTTGGGATACTATCTTTGGTTGAATATAATAATATATATTATATTATATTATATTATATTATATTATATTGAATAATTATATTGTCTATTAGTGCATATTTATATCAGACCTAATAGAAGAATTGTTTGTTAAAAATATTACAATTATAAAATTGTTATTTTAAACTTTTAAATTGAGTACTTTATAGCGTATAGCGATGTTATGATAGTTAAGCTTAATATAATTTCCCAATATCCAATAATATTAATAATATATATCCTTATAAATTCTTTATATCCCTTAAAAATTTAGGATAGGATACTATTTATTATACTTACCATAAAAACAGAGTTATTTAGTTTTGGGCCTTTCCCTGTAGGTTTGGCTTGTTGAAAATTTGTTGAAAATTCTAATTGTGCCATGCACATGTTTATGAATTAAAGAGCTCCATATGTATTTAGTTACATTTGGGTACTATATCTTTTGGAATTCCCTCTGGATCCTGGAATCGCTGCCTCTAATTCCAAGGGTTAGTGGGTCAGGTTCAGGTCCGGCCCTGTTAGTTGGTATTCATGTTTCTGTTTTGGACTGCTCGCTCTCGAACTCGGATTCGGATTCGGAATGCGATTCGGGTTCGGAATCGGGGGCTCCAGAGTTCCGTTGCGTCACCGGCGTTTGTTTGCCGCCACCTTTAATGAGGGGCGGTGGATTGGTGGGTTGGTGGATTGGTGGGTTGGTGGGTTGGTGTGTCGGTGGGCCTGTGGTTCAGTGGGTCGTCGGTGGGCCAAAGGGCGTGCAAGAGGGGGCGGTGCACTGTTGAGGTAGCTGCGTGGTAATGGTGAATTTATGGTTCTGAGGGCGGGAACAGATGGAAGCGAAGGGCAGGAGACAGAGGGGAAAGAACGCTCCTGGCGGTGGTTGTTGATGCCTTGTTTTTGTAATTCCCATTCACATTGTGTTCCCCCCATTCTTTCACATTTTTTTTGCCGCTTTTTGTTTTGTATGCGTTTTCGGTTACAGCTCGAAACTGGCACGAGTCAACTTTTATCGCACAATACACACTCACACATGCCACTCAACCGCACTAACACACGCACAGTTGGGGACGAATTTATAGAAATGGCTAATTAAATAAGTTAACAAACCAATAAACATAAAACGATGACAAACGAAAATCAAAAGTATATACAACTCTGGACAGAAAAGGCTCAAATAGGTAAAATATCAAAGTGATTTATTAAACATTTTCAAGTTTAATTAAACTCTCTTTGTTAAATGATATATGCATTGTGTCAAACAAAACAAGTATTTTCCCAAGCGTACTGCTTACAAACGTCATTTCAATTATCTGCACTTAATTTATTCACATAATGACACAATTGTTTTAATTTTATTTTAATTCACAATATTTCAATAGTTGAAAATTCCTAAATATTAAGGAATTTAAAAAAGCTAATAATAATTTAAAAGCTAAAAAACACAAGTAAACAAGTAAAACAACTATTACCTTGACTGCAACTGTCAATGGGAGACACGGCATTTGTTTTTGCAGGCCCGCTTTTGACTTAATGCCGCGATTATTATTGCAAAAACAGAACAACCCAAAAAAGAAAACAGCGCGAAAACAACCAACATAAACTAAAATGCTTTTATTTTTCCCCAGGTGTGGGTATAGAAATACTAATGCCAGAGTCAATGGGCTCTATATTAAACCCAGAGATTCCGGGCGGCAAAACAAAATAAAGAATAAAAGCTGACAATTTCGTTTTGAGGTTATACGATATCCCTTACCTGTCCAAACTTTATTACACACCGAGACACACACGTCTATATAGATATGAAAGGCATATTGATTTGTGTTTAAGGGAACCAGCTATTTCCCCTTTTTCCATCCCTCTCCTTTGCTCACCAGCCCATTAAAATTGGGGAAATTGTTGTACATAATTTATAAAAAGCCTTTTGACTAAATAGTTGCCTTCGAAACAAAGTTATTCAAGCGAAATAAGTTTGGGGCCCCCTTGCAAACAGAAACAAAAAAGAAGGTTTCCAAAAATAAACGAAGCCTTTGAGCACAAAAAAGAATCAATAAGGTTTACGGAGAGATATGTCTTGTAGATTTTGGTATTCATTTATACTGGATGACATCAAAGCCTGGGAAATTAAATTCAACTTTTACCCATAATAACTAAATAAAGTACACAAAAAAATGTTAATTATTATTTGGACTTGGTAATCTTTTTCCCATTCTTAGATTATATATAACCTGTCATATCCCGGGAAACCTTCGAAGATACAAATTGTAGCTGTCCCATCGATTAATATAAGTCCTGCTTCTCCCAAAAAAAATTATTAACGCGCGTTGGAAAGGAAATGCCCGATTATTGAGTCCTGGCGCAGTTACGTACCATCGAAAAATGTGAAACACATTAATCAAACCAATTAGTACCTTAAAAAAAGGTCAGTCGTGGGCTCGTGACGCAGCAACAGGAGCGAAATTATGGGACATCGATTTGGAGAGGGGTTCGAATTGGGGTTGGGGGTCATTCCAAGCATTAACCCTACTAATTTTCAAAATGGAAATGCCTTTATTTGGAGGTCGGTGGTGGCAGGGGACAGTGGGCAGGGCCTGGGCGAAAATGATTAACGAACCAACTTGCGACAGACAGCATATAATAATTTATTGATACCAGGCACACACTCACGCATTCTCGCACACAAAAGGACCCTCGCAGGACCTCCCGAACTCAGTAGGCGACTCCATGGTCATGGCTCTGTTGCCGTACAAGTTCTCCACGGACCCGACAGCTAGTTTGCTGGCTTCCTGTTGCACTCAGAGAAAATCCAGCTGATTTCGATCATTCGAATATCCAAAAATCTGAACCAAGAGGTAAAACACTATCAATATGAATTGATTGGTTACTATTATATGAACCAAAAATATTCGCAATTAACTATTACATTTATATTTATTTGTCAGCTTAAAAAACATACTTTGTTTTACTACTACTACTTTTGTAAAAGTATGAAAATGAAACTATACAAAAAAACTCCTGATAACTAAATTATATAAGTATAAATAAATCATAAATAATCATAAAAATTTACATAAATATTTAGTTTTTCCTGAAACTTATTATTAATAAGAACTCAAAATGTTTTTTTTTAGTGTATTACACCTCACATGAGGGACGTCATACATACACGAGTAGTTGGAAAATCGGTGACCTACAAAACATTTAATCGTTGCCAACGGCCAAAAAGTTTTCGGTTGTCTTCGGCATGTTTTTTTTGTCGATGGTTTTCGGGAGCTCGTGTTTTGGGATTTCGGGAGTTTTGGAAGCTCTGGGAGACGAGCCGAGAGACACGCACGTGTTTTTTGTCCAAGGACTCGCGGACCGAAAGCCCGAGGACATGTCCTGCCGGCCAAAGAACCCAGCCTACTTCACCCTCAGGTAAACGCGTGTTGGAAATTGTTTTAGTTTAGCTTTTCGATAAACAGTGTTTAATTGTAGTTGTAGTTTTTGTTTTTTTTTTACATATCTTATACACAACATTTAGTCGAGAGATGAACTTAAGTGTTAGGCTTGAATTGAACGTAGAGTTAGGATATAGTACAAACTAGTTTAAGATGATGCGAGCAATCCTAAGTCACCTTTCAGAGCGAAGAAGGGGTTTTCGAAGGTATTCGTATGGGGAAAATTCTAGAAAGTATGAATTTGTAGTGGTCCGTTGCCGGTGGTTTCAAGTATGAGTATAAGACACAATTCATTGCATTCTGAGGATGAGAGATCGATCAGGTTTTGGGTGTAAGTGTACTATATGCGATAGGTATATCAATAAATCGAATAAACTGCTTCGTTTTTGGCACGCCCTTAAACGCCCTCACAGACTCACAGACAGACCATTTATTATAAAGCTGAACAGGTTTGAAGGAAGGAAAGGTACACACATTTTGGAATCCTGCTATATATGTATTATACGACTTCTAAACATCGACGACCATTTTCTTGTGGATATCGGTATTGCCCACCACTGAGCAGAATTCGTCGAACGATATCTTTCCATCCTCGTCCTTGTCCGCAAAACAAATGGTCTTGTCCACGATCTGCTGCAATTGTGTGTCCTTCAAATTGTTGCCCACCATCATTTTGAGCACCTGGAACAATTCCCCATTCGAGATATAGCCATCGTTGTCCATGTCGTAAATCCTAAAGGCGAATCGCAACTTGGACAGCTTATCGCCGCGAACGCTGAACTGCGATACTCCCTGGATAAACTCCTTGAAGTCCACCTCCCCGTTGCCATCGGCATCAAAAATATCGATCACCCGCTGAACTAAAGGATTTTGCTGCAATTCCGGAAGGGACATGAACTCATCTATGCTCAAGGCCCCCGAATTATCCAGATCCAATTTGCGGAACCGCTTGCCCAGTCTCCGGATCTCGTCTGCATCGAAGTTGGAGCACATGTCCATGGGCAGGGAGGTCTCGTTACCCATGTTGGCCTTTGATTGATTATTTCTCTGGTCTTGATCTGCGGGAAAGAGTCATCGTTAATATGGCACTACTTTCTTTCTCACACGGAAAAAAACATAACCAAATGATAGACCTCATATCTTTAAGATAATATTTAGTGTATACATTAGAATCTTGCGTGTTTTCTAGTTTAGTTCTTTAAAATGACAATTATGACTATTAATATTCTGATTTATTTTTTTAATGTAATGTAATGTAAAATAAAGTTTATTCAATAATATATTATTGCAATTGGTTTTTTAGATACCGATTTCTATAATCGCCCAAGAGTATGGGATTTTAATACCTAAACGTTTTTTATGTTACCTTTTTCAATAATATTTGAATAATTTAAGACTTCCAAAGTGTGTCACATCAATATAATCTGCTAAATACTTTTTTCAATGCCAACTAATTCATATTTTAAAAACCTTTTTAAATTTAAAAAGCCCACGATTTGGTAGATTTTTCTCTGCGTGTACAGTACGACCTCTTACCTCAGTATGTGGTCTCCGGATTCTGTTTCGTTCAACCTCTTAATTTTCCAACGACTGACACACTCTAAAAAGAAAAGGGGGGAGTGCAAGTTATCAGCATACTTTTAATTATGGCTCAATCGTATCGATTTTCCAAATTGCCAGGGACTTTCACTTCCCGTCTCTCTTTTTTGGCTTCAACTAAGGAGTGAAATCTCGGGAAAGAGTCTGTTTTAGGATCCTCTGGGACTCTCAGGAAGCTTTAGTTGAGCTCAATGAAGGATTTGTAGTGTTACCCATAGATATTTACCATAAATAAACAATAGCGTTGGTTTGTTAACTTCCAAAAGTGCTCTCTACTCGCTCGACAGCAAATACACGACTGTGGACGAAAGAGAGAGTTCTTCACCATTAAGGAAAATGCCAGCGAGGAAATGCGAAAAGTGAGAGCTAAGAGAGAGAGAGCTGTCAAAAGCAGACAGCTGTTGCTTTTCCACCTGTTTTTTGGGGGTTGCAAATCGTTTTTACAGTTGTCAATGCCGTTTCCTTTTACGTTTAAGGCATAATTTTAGGGGTTACAAAAAAGTTTAGCCATATTTTTATAGCACACTTAGCGGCTTTCGATCCTTACAAAAAGGATATTGCGTTGGGAAATTCTAGAGATTCATTCCTAGAGATGTACCATCGCATTAGCGATGTTCCTTTATAATAATTTACTTTAAATATTTTATAATGGAAATGTAGTCAAAAATTGTTAGTATTAGAATAGCCTGATGGACTTTGAATATATTCCAAGAGGTTTACTCAACAATTGTTTTCCCAGTTTACTTTTCATTTTAAGTTCCATTTTAATAAAGTATTTAACAATTACAAGAAGCTAACAAATGGGCAATAAACTGTGTAGTTATTTTATTTTTATTGAATATGGTCAACAAAAAAATACTTTTATTAAAAATGTTTAAAGAACACATTTTGTATTCGTCGTATTTTAGTTTTAAGTAGTGTTTCCAAATATTTAATTTTAAATAGCGGTTTCACACAAATGTCAAAAAATGTTCTTGCCAGAGTTCAAGATTGACTTACACACTATTTAAACATATATAGGTATATGAAAAATTTCGAGATTAGAAATGGCGTTCAATCGACAGCAGCTATCTGCTTTTTCTTCAGTTCCAGATAATCCTCTTCATCTGTGCTAGCATCGTAGACATCTCGCGCTTTTTCCGTCACCGTAGTTTTGTGTTTGATCTTCTTATTGCGGTTTTCTGAATTATATTTTATAAATACTTAAATGAGAAATTATGGGAAAACAAAAACTTACCTTGAGTCACCCGCTCCAATTCATCTTCCGTATCGATACCCGATGAAGCCTCTGGATTCAGATCACCTGTTTTGTTATCCTTTGGATCTGCATCATAGGTTTTCTTCACCTGGATGTCTTCCAGCATTTCCACATCATTCTCGCTGGACTCGCGTCGTGCATTTGGCTTAATCGCCTCATCGCACACCTCTTCATCACTCTCCGGCTGGCCAAGATCTGTGGTATTTAGAGCGTATCGTCGCCAGGGGAGATACTTCTTCAGTTCAAAGCATTTATCGATCCAACTTCGGGTTACAATCTTGCCCTTGCCCTTCACTTGATTATACTTTGGAGTGTTTTTGAAGGCACATCTAATTGGGTTATAATTTTGGAGTTAGCTAGTAAGTTATCAAATTGACTACGCCGGCTTACATGAGATGAGTGCATCCTGGCTCCCAATCAGCTTTATACTTGGCACCCAAGGCTGTGGCTTTCGAACGCAAGTCTGCACGATCGGGATTCTGGAATGATAAGTGATCGATATTAGTTTCTAAGTTTATCCAGTTTATTCTTTAATTCTTGCCTGAATGCCACTAATGACCAGATATACTCCTTGTAGCAGCTGATTAAAGGGACGATATTGGATTGGTGCGTCTTTAACCTTTTGCTTTTTGGCAGGCGTAGCAGCGCTTGCAGTAGGTGATGAATGACGCTTTTGTGCAGATGGACGAGGACTATCCTTTCCTTTCCATGTATTCTGGTGCTTTGATGTGTCCAGATCCCCGTTTTCGTGCTTAGAAGAAGATTTGCCCTCCTTTCTGGCTGATTTGTCCTCTTTTTCATAGGACTTTTCCTCTTTTTTTGATGAATGTTTTAGTTTTGGGGAGGATTTGTCCTCTTTTGACTTTATTTTATCTTCTTTATGAGATTTGTGTTCCTTAGAGAAGGATTTCTCTTCTTTAGAGGACGATTTCTCTTCTTTGCTGGTTGACTTATCCAGTGAATGCCTGCTGTTGTTCTTCTTGCGATCCTTTTCCTTTTCCTGCTCCAATCGCCGTCGCTCCTTGTCCGCCTCGATATGCTTGCTCAACCGTTTCTTCTTGGCATTCTCCTCAACAGCAGCCTCATTCTCGTCGTCATCACCAAACAACAGGGAAGCTCGGTTGCGATCCAGGGGTTTGCTATCTGAAGGAGAAGGAGAGCCTGATCGCAGGGCATTTGGAACTGGTGATGGTGAAGGCGATGGCTTAGGCGATGGCTTGGGCGATGCAGAGGGCGATGCAGCCAAGCTGGAAGCCTTGCCAGTGCTTAATCTTCTCAAGACATTAGAGCCCGCATCTCGAATAGCTGCCGCTGTGGAGACAGCAGCAGAAGATTGATGTTGTGTTTCCTTCTTCCAGCGTTGAAATCTAGTGACCTGATTGTCGGTTTCCGAGTCCGGAGATTCTTCGCGCAGCTTAAAAGCCCCGAACTGCATCATTCCATGTGGCAGCAGGGACTTGACCTTCGGAGGAGCAGCTACGTTAGCCGGAGCTCCCAAAACATGAACCTTAACGAAGGATAGCCCGTATTGGACGTGTCGATTGAAAGGCTGCGTGCAGACTATCTTCAGCAGCTTCCACTTTTCCGGCAGGACAATTTCCGACAAAGCAGGACCGCTGAAACAGCGAACCCGGTTTTGGTTACTCGAATTCTTGCTCTCAATCGGGGTCATAAACGAACTGGACAACAGGAGTTCCTTAAAATCATCCGCCTGACAGCCCGTCCGGCTGACCAGCACCTCTATAAAGGCGGCATGTTCGTTGCCAATATCGATGCCGGTAATTTGCTGGGGATCCTGAAACTCCAGGATCACATAGGCCGACTTTTCGCCCGGCGATTTGGTCCGCCACTTTTTGCCGGCATTCTCCTTCAGCAAATTATTCGCCACGTGAACCTGGCAATTGGGAAATATAATTACATATATGCATATGCCATCTACATATTACCAGCACTCACCCCATCTTCACTGCTTACTTCGCGTACTGACTTAAAAATCGCAATTGGCATTTTGCAATTTCATCAATCAAATTCAGACGCAGCTAATTAGGCGGGAAATTCCTATAGCTATCTTTGATTCTATGATGACCCCGATGGAGATCTTATATCGAGGTTTATGAATTACCAAATTAACAATCCAAAATGCTTGTTTATTTGTTGTAGTTTTCGAAGCAGATGTAAACTAAGCTGTTTTTGTTTGGACGAATATTTTAAAAATAAACCCTGTATTTCTAAGTCTTATTCGCACATCACTAACAGTGCTGGAAGCCTAGCTAGTAATCGCTAGATATACTTTTTTATGCCAACACATTTTTATCAGCATTAGAACAATAATGATTTACGTTAAAAATTTAACAGTTTTGATTCTGGTCCTTTAGTTTTAAAAGTCTTTATGTTGTTACCACGATTTAAAAAAAATTCCCAAAAACCTGAACTTTCCGGCACATTACATCTCTTATTGAAATCGGATTCCGAAGTAATATACCAGCATACCGATCATTACAATATATCTTTTAAGGATATGAAGCGAACCTGGAACAGAAGAGATGATTTTTTTTGTTCATGAATACATATCCCATATGTCTAAATTGGCCTTTATTTTTATTTATATTTTATTCCATAAAAACTATTGGATAAGCTATATTCGCCCAAAAGTGATTTCACCAAGGTGGCAACGCTAGTGGACAGCTATAACAAATAACAACAAAAAGTGAAAGTTTTGATATGATAATTAAGAAATAGAGATGAGTAGTTTTATACAGAAGCTGTGAAAATGGTAGAGATAAATAATAAACAAAATAAGTAATAGAAATATGGGCTGGCTAACATTATGAACCATTGCACATTTAAAATTGCATTAATTGGATCAACCAATTGAATTTATAAATATTAAAAATCTATGTTGTAAGTTTGATCAATCTTCCTGTCGTGACTGGTGGTGATAACAGTCACGGTGAACAGGGAGCAGCAATCGCCCATCCCTGATACCCCTTGTCAATGTCGCAGGCAAAGTTGTTGTTGTTTTTTGTAAATATCAACAAAATATAGAATGAGCGAGGATGCAAGGATCAAGGAGATGGCGCCATCACAGGACATCACCGCCAAAGACAAGGACGTAGATGCCACCAATTCGAATTCGCAGCCAAGTGTCAAGGATTGGGTGAACTTCTCGCAGTGGATGCACTGCTTCTGCGTTGTCACCTTCGATTTGAATCTTGGCCAGGCGCTGGAGCATGTCTACCCGCCGGAGTTCATGCCCAGCGACCAGGAGGTCAGCAACATCTGTTACATGGCCTTTCCGGACTCGAATTCCGGCTGCATGGGCGACACCAAGTTCCACATGCGATTACGTTGCACATCGCGGCGGGAATCCTTGCCGGGATACAATGCGGAGTGCTCGCCAGCCCTGCGACAGGATGGCTCACACTATTGGGGCTTCGTCTACTTCCGGCAGAAGAGGGATTCGAATCTGCCGCGTGGTTACTTCCAGAAGAGCTTCATCATCATCACACGGCTGCCGTTCTTCAATCTGTACTACGACATACTCTCCCAGTTGGCACCTCGCTACTTCGAGGAAGGAACCGATGTCCTTCGACTGGCCAGTGAGCAAATCAATCGCCAGTGGCCCGGCCTAAGGGTGGGCAATCCCCTCCAGCTTCCCCTGCTCGACTGCAGCTACCAAATCTGCATACCCCGCACCAGTAGCAGTAGGAAATCCACTGCAGAAAGTTCAGCCAACTCTGGGGAATCTTCACCACCCTTGGCTGCTTGTCCAGCGACCAAGGTACTATCCTCCGTCAACGAAATCGAACTCTTCCACTCCCTGGACTTTGTCATGGAGCAGCTGTATACGCTGTGGGAGCTGGTGATCACCGCCGAACCTATTGTGGTGGTGGGCACCTCTCCCGCCGACTGCTCACACATGGTTCAGACTCTCCTAGCCCTAATTGCTCCTTTGGAGTACTGCGCGGAGGCCCGTCCCTACTTCACCATCCACGACAGCGAGTTCCGGGAGTTTACGCAGGAGTGCACCAGCAAGACGACAGTGCCCACCTGCATTTTAGGCGTGACCAATCCGTTCTTTGTCAAGCTGCTCAAGGATTGGCCGCATATGCTAAGACTGGTGGACAACCAGGTGAGCAGAATAACTTTTTATTCGAGGCACATACAAATCTATATCTCCATCTCGCTCATTTTCAGAAAAACATGCAGCAGCAACAGCAGTTGTTGATGAGTCAAAAACATGCGAGGAACATCTCCTCGGCCACCTCATTCTCCAGCTCAACGGAGTTGGTCGGAAGGTCCCTCAAATCCAGCACTGGATTGAATGGCAGTTCCAGCAATGGCTCGGGTGATGCCTCATCCTCGGGACTGCACAGCAAATACAGGCCGTACCTCAAAAAGGATAAGGCGCTGATCAAGAAGGTGCTGCTGGGCATGAAGACCAAGCGGCCGGAGCATGTGCAAACCGCTCTGATACGACGCCACCTGCTCGAGCTGACCCAGAGCTTCATGATACCACTGGAGCGGTATATGGCCTCGCTGATGCCGCTGCAAAAGGACATCAGTCCGTTTAAGTCGGCCCCGAATGCGAGCAGCTTTAAGCTGGACGACTTCCTGGCGACGCTGGAAACAGCCGGACCGCAGCTCACTTCCCCGCTGAAAGGAGATTGGAAGGGTCTTTACAGACGCTTCTTTCGATCGCCCAATTTTCGCGGATGGTACGAGGCCCGTCATCGGGAGCTGCAACTCACTCTCCAGGATCTTCAGCTGCAGGCGCTATCGGAGGCAAACCTGGAGCATTGGGCGCACGACAAGCAGGAGGTGGAGATCATCGACATGATACTCAAGCTCAAGCAGAAACTGAATCTCTATGGGGAGAAGGCCACACAGCTGGAGGGAATCAATGGCACCCAGCAGCAAATCCGGGCGCAAATCGAGTGCATGAAGGGTTTGCTGCCGCCTGATCTCAAGAATGTGGTGAACCTCTGATCTTAGCCACGGCTGTCTAGCTAAATCTTGTACTCTTCTCTGTTTGGCTGCTCCATATCCGCCCAAGGATTTCCGTCTGTCTGTTATTCTGTAATTGTGTGCCTGTGTGCGATGTGTGCGTTTTTTGCGATCCTTGGGAGGAGGTGCTCTTTTTTATTGTAAATAAGTTTTATCCGGAGATTAGTCGCTATATTTGTGTCTAGTTTAATTGTATAAATAATCCCAAGCAAACAAAGAGAAAACGGAACCATGAATGTTAGTCCAAGCCAAGTATTAAATGTAATCGAGGCGATATTCATTTCATATTTTCAAATCTATTAGAAACGTTTAAAACTTCATAGATCCCCAAAACAATGCTCATGTCTTTGACTGTCTCAAATAAGAAAACTAAACCTTTAATATGGTTCAACCTATTCAAATAATACGAATTTCTGCAGCTAAATTTTAATTACCATGTTAAAGTTTATAAAGTTAAGAGTTTGTATCCCAAAATTGTACGATTTGGCGGTCATACAGGTAGAAAACCTTTAAATGAAATCTACATCTTGTGAGATAAATAATGCATCCTCCGAATTTCTCAAAGTAAATGATGGGTTGACCAATGTGATTTAAAGCCAGTTCTGTTCGACTTTTATCTTGTTTCTTTTAAAATCGTTGTAAAACTTTGTATATCGCTTTAAAAAAACTGTTTAAGTGTCTATGACTGTCAAATATAAGAAAATTATACATTACCTTTAACGTGGATTGTTTTTCTGATTGGTTCTTCTTATTATTTTAAATAGTATATATATATTATTGATCAACACACCAGCCGAGTCGATCTATCCATGTCCGTTTGTTGCTTTTGCAAATTTGTTATTTTAAAGGGGATCAAAGTGACCTAAAACCTGCACTTCTAAGCCCATAACTTTTCTAACAGACATCCGATTTCAAAGTGGCATACTTCTAAATGATCGTGATTTAATTCTCTAAAAATCTGTGCTTTCAACTTGGTTTGTATTTTTGGTTCGATTTTTCGTCATTTTAATGATGTTACTTACCCCTTTCCAAATTTTCGGAAAAAATGGCTTTGGGGAAAAGTGACCCAAAACCTGCACTTCTGAGCTCATAACTTTTCTTACAGACATCCGATTTTAAAGTGGCATACTTCCAAATGATCGTGGCCTAATTCTCTAAAAATCTGTGTTTTCAGTTTGGTTTGTATTTTTGGGTCGATTTTTTGTCATTTTAATGATGTTACCCCTTCCCAAATTTTCGGAAAAATGGCTTTGGGGAAAAGTGACCCAAAACCTGCACTCTAAGCTCATAACTTTTCTCACAGACATCAGATTTTAAAGTGGCATACTTCTAAATGATCGTGGCTTAATTCTCTTAAAATCTGTGTTTTCAGTTTGGTTTGTATTTTTGGGTCGATTTTTCGTCATTTTAATGATGTTACCCCTTTCCAAATTTTCAAAAAAATGGCTTTGGGGAAAAGTGACCCAAAACCTGCACTTCTGAGCTCATAACTTTTCTTACAGACATCCGATTTTAAAGTGGCATACTTCCAAATAATCGTGGCCTAATTCTCTAAAAATCTGTGTTTTCAGTTTGGTTTGAATTTTTGGGTCGATTTTTCGTCATTTTAATGATGTTACCCCTTTCCAAATTTTCGAAAAAATGGCTTTGGGGAAAAGTGACCCAAAACCTGCACTTCTGAGCTCATAACTTTTCTTACAGACATCCGATCTTAAAGTGGCATACTTCCAAATGATCGTGGCCTAATTCTCTAAAAATCTGTGTTTTCACTTTGGTTTGCATTTTTGGGTCGATTTTTCGTCATTTTAATGATGTTACCCCTTCCCAAATTTTCGGAAAAATGGATTTGGGGAAAAGTGATCCAAAACCTGCACTTCTGAGCTCATAACTTTTCTTACAGACATCCGATTTTAAAGTGGCATACTTCTAAATGATCGTGGCTTAATTCTCTAAAAATCTGTGTTTTCAACTTAGTTTGTGTTTTTGGGGTCGATTTTTCGTCATTTCTGTAATGTAACCCCTTTCCAAATTTTCGGAAAAATGGCTTTGGGAAAAAGTTAACCAAAACCTACACCACTAAACCCATAACTTTTCTCACAGACATCCAATTACAAAGTGGCATACTTCCAAATGATCGTGGCCTAATTCTCTTAAAGTCGGAGTTTTCAGTTTGGCTTGTATTTTTGTGTCACTTTTTTACAATTTTTATCTAAAAAACATAAAATAACGAAAATGCCAACAAAAATGCTTCTTAAATTGCAAAGAGAATTTCAAAGTGTTTATTATCATATAAATAGAAACAAAAAATACAACTTAACCGATATATGAAGGTTATAATAGAGAAAATATGTTATATTTGATGGACATGGTGAAGATGCTCCGGTGGAATGTGAGATTAGATAAGAAAAACGATGTCGTCGGCCACCATGATTTGATTATCATCGGTCATGCGATGGACGGCGGCCTCGATTTCGCCGCCGGTGAATGGCTCCTGGTTGCCCTCGTTGATGGCTGTGGTGATCCTGGCCAGCGGCAGGCTCTGTTCGCGTGCCTCGCGGAACAGGCGCTGCAGGTTGTTCTTGAATTCGCCCAGTCTGGGATCACTGATGGAGGCTGGCTCCGACGGCGGTGTTTCGCCCACCGATGACTGCTCCTCACTGGAGGTCAGCAGCTGGGGACGAGCAGGTAGCGAACGACGGGTCTCACGGCGCGTCAAATCTCCAGCATCCGGCTGTGGTGTCTCAATGTCCTCGTCATCGCTATCCACACCTACAGGGGCAGTGCGTGTGCGCTTGGAGCGTCGCGACGGTGATCGCTGGCTGGACGCCTCACCATTCTCCTCCCCCTCATCACCGGATGCACTGTTCCGGCGACGCTTGCCACCGCGCTCCTTTTCCAGCACCTTCTTGAAGTGGGCAAACTGCACCAACTCAATGGCTGCATGGGCATCCTCGATGGTCACCGATTTGGACATGCGTGCCCTGGCATGAGCCGTGGACAACCGGATCAGGGTCTCCAGCGTACGAGCTGTAATCGGCTGGGTGCGGGCCACATCCATTTCGACCGCCTCCTGAGAGCGCAGCCTGGAATACTCGTTGGCAATCGCCTCGCAAGCCTGCTCCCCCAATTTGGGCTTCATGCACTTGGCAATGTGGATGTACTTTCGCATGAACTCCACGGACAAAATCTTCTCGTGACGCTGGCGGGATTTGCCATGCAGCAAGGCATCGTACTTCTCATAGACCTCAGTTTCCTTTTTCTGTAACATTAATTGAAGATATAACATAATTATCAAACCGTTTATAAATATTGTTATTCAAAACCCACCTCTTCACTGCTGGAAACGAAGGACAATGAATCCGCATATGAGCTACCCATGGACAGTGGCTCTCCGTCTGCCTCCTTGGGATTGCGATAGCGATGCATCCGCACCACATGGTCCGAGATCATCTGGTCCACATCGCTGTCAATCACGTCTAGCATTACGAAGAGCAGATCGAAACGCGAGAGCAGTGAATCCTGCAGCCCAATATTCTCCATGGGCGTTTTGTACTGATCATACTACAATGGGTTGTGAAAATACCATAATTAGCCAGAGATTTTCGAGGAGATCAAGCTGTAGACTTACCCTTCCGTACACCGGATTAGCGGCAGCCAAAACGGAGCAGCGAGCATTGAGCGAGGCATGGATGCCCGCCTTGGAAATAGTAACTCGTCCCTGCTCCATCACTTCATGGATGGCCGTGCGATCAATATCGCTCATCTTGTCGAACTCATCGATGCAAACGACTCCGCGATCTGCCAGGACCATGGCGCCGGCCTCCAGACGCCGCTCACCGGTCTCCTGATCGGTGGTAACCGCCGCCGTGAGACCAACACCACTGGAACCACGTCCCGTGGTCGGAATTGCCCGCGGAGCCGTGTTCAAGACGTAGCGCAGCAGCTGCGACTTGGCCACCGAGGGATCACCGATGAGCAGGACATTAATATCGCCACGCAGCCGTGTTCCGTTTGGCAGGATCTTCTCCACGCCGCCGAGGAGAAGGCAAAGGATGGCCGACTTCACATACGAATGTCCGTGTATAGACGGCGCCAGACTCTTGCTGAGGAGCTCAAAGATGTCGTTGTTCTTGGCCAGCTTCTTGCACAGCATAATGTCCTCGCGCGATATGTCCAGGTTACTCTCCTTGCTAAGCAGCGATATGTTGTTGGCCAGGAGAACAGTACGGAAGGTGCCGGAGGTGTAGCCACCGCGTTTACCCGGCAAACAGCGGTAGCTACCCACAATTTGGACACGATCACCCGGCTTGCAGTGATCAACGAGATCATCATCGCATACAATGTCGACAGAGCGTGGCAGTTGGCCAGCCGGGGCCTTTTCGGGCATCTCCTGAATGGTCAGCGTCTGGTGATCCTTGTAGACGGACAATCCGTATTCGGTTTCGAGCAGATTGCCATCCTCATCCTTGGTGGGATAGGCAGCACCGGAGGGCACGGCCTCGAAGGATGTCAGATCGGTGTACTTGCGCTCCATGACCTTGCGAGTATTTGGACAATAGTGGACACTGCGCACCACCTTGGGTCGAATTAAGGAGACCTTGGTGACAATGCCCTCCACGCAGACCATGTTGCCCAGATAAATGGAGGTCAGGGAGCGAGGGGTGACATGTCGATTGCCGAAGCAGCCCTCGAAGCCAACGAAGAGATCCTCGTGCATCTTGGCATACCCAGGATCCACCGTGGAGGCGTACTCCTTAAGGGCCCTTCCGAAGGCCAGCTGCTCATCTGCCGCGTTTCCCAGGAGTCCCATTGCCCGCTGTGGATTCTTCCGCTTCAAATCATTCACGTTCACGATCAGACGTTTGCTCTTCTCCGCAATCATGTCCTTGACGTGGCCCGCATAGATTCCCTGATCCTCCTCGTCGTCCAGGAAGTCCACATACTCGCGCTGGATGTCCTTGATGAACTGTTCCCCTTCGTGGGCCATGGTTATGTCCTAGTCTATCACTCGGATCTCTTTATCGGTGTATAAATAATGCAGACTCGATCCGTTCTGGAGCAAACACAAATGCAAACAAAACTAGGATCGCGAAAATGGCACGCCAAAAAATAATTTTTGGCGGGAATGCACGTGAAGTATGACCAGCCGAGGAAAATACCACGGCTTTATATATGACTACAGTCAAGATTGGCTATGCAAAAATTGTGGTTATCTATAGCAAATGTTTTTCATATACTTTATATAGAAATCGTGGAGATTGGCAAGGAAATCCAAATAAAGTTTGTTCTCATTTATTTTTAATATGTATTTTTGCTTTGCTCAAGTTAAGTTGTGGGAAGTGTCAGCTATAATGGGTAGTATTTGACCAATTTGAATTTCACAAACTATCTAATAAAAATAAATTTTCAACACACTTGAAACAATTAAAAATGAAATATTGCTTTTGTTGGCTTTTCATATATCTAGTCCAGTTCGATTACATAAAACATTGTTAGCACAAAATGTCAACAATTGTAGCTCCTGACGACCTTGAAACGATTCTGTTATGTACAATTTTTTTATCATATTTTATATTATTTATAAGTGGTAAATTTACCAAAATAATTTTTTTTCACCAACCGATTTTTTTGTTTTAATATTTAATATTTTTAATATTAACCATCTTTAAAATGAAACCATATATATAAATCTCACTTGGGAGTACATGTTGTAAATACTTATAAGAATAATATAATTACAATTATAATACACAAAATAGTTATTTATAATAGACTTATTCTTTAAGATCCAGGTTTTGCCAGGGCTGCCGAAACTATCGCCGGACTTTATAAGACAAGATATTTTTCTCACTATCTAACTACGGGCACACTGCGCATCTAAAAACTTAGAGCCCTTAGACTTATTTCTATTTGACGTTTTCGGGATTTTCGTATTAAAGAAGGTGACAGTCAATGACTTTTATTTTTGGGAGCAACCTAGAATATTCGCAGCAAAGTGCTTAATAAGAATTTCGCTATAGAAACTTAAAAACATCGAATAACGTGATACTTACTTGGCCAGTCCGTCGGTGGTAGTCTTTTTGTTATTTGTTATTTACCTGTTTTACTTCGGAAAGCAAATTCAAGAGGAAACCGAAGAGGTCCCTGAGAAGAACAGTAAAGATCATGGTCGGCAACAAGAAGGTGAGATTTGGGGGGTAAATGGGAATCCCTTACAATCCCTTGTTTAATGAAAAAAATAACACTTCATCTGAAAAAGCAGCTGAAGAAGGAACTGGGAGAGATGCCGGTGCATCATTTGGACAAGACATTGGACAAGATCGAGGAATTGGAGAACGATGAAAAGAAGAAGCGCAAGGAAAGCTGCCCAACTCCAATCTGGTCACCATTGTCCCCTGGCGAGATTGTGCCCACCACTACTATCACATCCTCGGATGATGAGACTTCAGTAAAGAAGAAGGCGGGGAATGATTCGTCCTCCTCCAGCAGCGATGACTTCACCTGGGACTTCGACGACGAATCCAGCGACGACGAAAGCCTCAACCTGGAGCGATCCTACAAGGATCTGATGAGCCAGGATAACAAAAGTTTCGCCCAGTTGGTATCAATCAGCGAAATAGCCTTGTAAGTGGGGATTAGCTGTTTAAGCATATTTCTCTCTAGTCTCCAAATCTTAATTTGGTTACCAATAGCACTGCTATATCCTTTTTAAAGCCAATTTATTAAGTATAAACAGTATATAAAAGTAACTGCATATAATTCAGAGTGCAACGGAACAACCGATAATTTTTCAAAAAATGTTAAAGTACATAGGTTTCTTTTTATTTAACTTGTTTGAACTTTAAATAATGTGGTTAAATTTCACATCTTATTAATGCAATATTTAAATTTACATGGTAATGAATAGGGCCTTTAAAACCATCATTAAACGTAAACATACATACATGTATTAAAACAGTAAGAGGCTTAGCTTCAATTACAAGATTTTATTTGAAATTTGTTAAAATTTTGTTTATACATGCAGGCTAACTAAAAATCGGGTGGCATGCAATTAATTGTAAATTGTCTACAAAATTTGTTCAATTTTCTAAGTAACATCTATGTTTTTTATGCAAATCCAGCAAACTCAACGACCTGGACAAGATTGAACTATCGGTGACTGCGCTGCAAAAGCAAGCTACCGTGCCGGCCCACATCTGGCTGAAATATCTCAAGGCCCGACTGGTGGTGACCCAAACGCCCGACGAGCGCAAGGCTTTCGAGAAGAAGTGCGCCAAAGCATTAACGTACTTCTACAGTAAGTTATAGCAACCAAATAAAATAGAAAACCCGATTAATTAATATGTTGTTTACCAGACATACCGCTCTCCACTTTTATTGTGAACTACCTGGTTGACCAAGGAAATGTCGAGAACCATGTGCTGTGGGCCAAACTGCTTGCGGATTACGACGTAGAGCGCCCAGATTTTGGCGACAAGTTACGCCCACTACTTTCTAGTATCACTGACAAAAAAGAAGCCGCCACATTCGAAGAACTCCTGCAGAAGCACTGCGTCAGCTGGAACTGCGGCGAAAAGAAGAGAAAGATCATACAAAAACTCGTTGACGAGTTTAAGAAAGATCTAGACGAGATGAAGACACAAAACTGTGACTGGAATTGGTCAAAACTACACAAAAGAAATGTGGAGGATGTGCAGTCGTTGCCCTTCGACGAAGACATTAAAAACGCGGTGATCCGCTTCTTATTTGAGCGCACCCTGGCCAAGTTTCCCATTGCCGATTTCCTGTGGCTATGCTACATCGACTTTATCATGGGCAAAGACGGTAACAAGAAAGAGGAGGCAGTGGCCAAGAGAGAAAGCCGCTTGGGCAAAGGGTTCTTGCGTAGCACTGCACTGGATTTGGCCTGGCGGGGAGTGCGAAGTCGCCCCAGCGTGCGTCTGAATCACAGATTCATTAATCTAATGGAACTGGCTGACTTCAAGCAGCCCGATGTTGACCATCAGCTCCGCATAATTCTGAAGCGCATAGAGCCCGATATGATCATGACGGTGGAGCTGCACCTAGACTACTTAGCCTATTGCGTGCGTAACACCAATGTTAAGGATAATGCACAGGTTATTGGGTTGCGCGCCGCTTTCAATAGCGTCTGGGAAGAGCTTTCTAACCTTTATGGCGATAAAGCGGACACCAGTTACGAGGTGCTCCAGCTGTGGGCACAAGTGGAGTACGCGCATCTGGGCAGTCCGGACAATGCCATGCATATTTGGCATCAGATTTTGGGTGAGCAGATGTTTCCACGTTCAGTAAGCATACTATTTACACATTTCCTTCTTCAGGTTATCCGGGCAGCTCACATCGCGGATTGCTTTGGCTTAGTTTCGCCCAGATGGAAAGCCAATACAACGCAGGTCACTGCACCCCTGATATTCTGCGTAAAGCACTATCCCAGCCCGTTTTGGAAGATGGCATCAAGGTGCAGGAGTTTTATCGACGCCACGAACGCTGCTATGGAACCTATGAGTCTAATGCGGCCTGTCAGGCCCTTGAATTGCCCCCTGAATACATAAAGCAGCGTTTCCATATGAAGCCCAATTCCCAGCAGGTGAATTACCGCCAGCCGCAGCATCGCCAAGCACAACCTCACCAGGCACAGCCTCGCCAGGTAAAGTTTGATCAGGCAAAGCCTTACCAGGAAAAGCCTCACAAGGAAAAGTCCCATAAGAAAAAATCCCACAAGGAGAAGTCCCACAAGGAGAAGTCCCACAAGGAGAAGTCCCACAAGGACACACCTGACAAGAAAAATCCTCACCAGGAAAAGCCTCTCCAGGGGAAGCCTCACAAGGAAAAGCCGCAACAGCCAAAGCCTTGCGAGGAAAAGCCGCAACAGCCAAAGCCTTGCGAGGAAAAGCCGCAACAGCCAAAGCCTTGCGCGGAAAAGCCGCAACAGCCAAAGCCTTGCGAGGAAAAGCAGCAACAGCCAAAGCCTTGCGAGGCAAAGCCTGGCCAACAACCGGAGGAGAATCGTGAGCCATTGAATCGCGAGCAGCGACGTAAGCTGGCGCATCAGCAGAAACAGCAGCAGCAGGGACATAAAATGTCTATGCCCAAATCCGTTTCTAAAACTACATCCGAGGATGGTCCACCTCCAGCATCGGAGGCTAAACTTACTGCACGTCCGGCTGAAGAGACCTGGGGATCTAACTTTAAATATTCGCGTGAGTCCCAAGGGTTAAACAGAAATTTCATCTACTTAAATGAGTTCATTTTGTAGCCCATTTGGAGGCCAACAAGATCTTTTTGAAAAACCTGCATCCCGACTGTTCCGAAGAGGAGCTGCACGAGCTGTTTGGACCCTATGGCACCATCAAAGATGTGCGCCTGGTTCGCAAGAAGTGAGCTTTAGTTTTATTTAAGGTTTTATATGCTAAGTGCTATATGTTTTTACCAGGCACATGAAGTTGAAGTGCATTGCTTACGTGGAGTACGAAAGGCCAATAGAAGCTCAAAGAGCGGTGGCTGCACGCGATGGTTACCTGTTGAAGGGCATGAATGTGAGTGCTTCCTTCTGAGTTTTATATAACTATTTTATAATAATATATTTGATCAACTTCTGCAGATTGTTGCGGCCATTTCAAACCCTCCGCCAAAAGATTCCTCCTTGGATCTTCCCAAGCTCAGTCTTGGGTCCAAAAGACGAGTTCCCACCTCGTTGATACCCACGATACTGCTGCCCCACGCGGTGGCCGAAAAGAAACGTCGTTTGATGGTCTTCGAGTCCGCAAAGTTCGCAAATTCAACGGACGAAACCAATAAGTCAGAGGCTACTGATCAGTCCGAACGGAAGGAACCCGCTGTGCCAAAATCAAACAAAGAGTTCCGCAGGCTATTTTTTAAGGATTAGGTTACAATTCCTACGGCAAAGCCAGGAGCCAGCCGTAAGACGACATCGATTATTCTATTCAAGGACGATTATTCGAAATTTAGCTTTTAACATTTTAGACAACCTAAACTGAACCAAAAGGTTAACTAGTTGTACAAATGAGGCAGATGTAAGATTTTTTTTATTCTTAATTGGTTAAAAATGTGGGAACCAAGTAAAAATCAAAATGGGAGACACAATAAAATCAATTTGTTAAAGAATAATATTTGACTATAAGCATGTTTTAATTGAGAAATTCTGACATTTATGAATCCTGGAAGTCCAGAAAAAAAATGCCACTTGTCGATCTATATACATAAATGATTTTAAAACGTACCGAAACCGAAATAAAATGTACAAAACTGCGAGTTGATTAAAAGAAAGGGCTTTTTGATTTATTACATAACTGCTAATTGAACTAAGTGCGGAACTTGACGCTCTTAGTGACGCTAGACTTAATGCCGGACATCTCGCCACCGTAGCGATGCAGCTCCTTGCGCACTGTGCGCACGGCTCCTTTGCGTCGGATCAGAGCCTTTCGGTATTTGCCGCGGTGCTTCACACGCGGATTGCGCAACTCCTTCTTGCGGTGCGGCGTGAGACCCTTGTTCTTGGCCATCTGGTAGGTGATGCCGCGTCGGGCCATCTCCTCCTCGTCCTGCTCTTCTTCTGGGTCTTCTGCTGGCTCTTCCTGACCCTTCGTTTCTTGCCTCTCCTCTTCACCATCATCACTGCTTACTTCGGCCTGCTCTCCATTGTTATACTTGTTGAGGATCTGCAGCTTGGCCTTGCGCTGTGCCACATCCAACACGGTGAAGGCATCGCCATCCTGAATTCTCTCCAGCAATGCCTCCAACTGCGGCCGTATGTACTCCTCGTAGCGCGGCGTCAACTGCTCCCTCAGCAGCTTGAGCTGCACCAGCCGCTTGACCACCGGATGGAACTTGACGCTACTCCGTCGCGCCTTTAGCAGCAGATAGAAGGCCACGTTGGAGCAGTAGGTGGACAGCACGGTGTGGTATAGGCTGGCGTACTTGAGAGCCGGGACCATGGGAACATCGTGGTTCCGTACATAGTTTAGAACCGGGGTGATCAGATCCTTGACCTCCTCCAGATGTTTCTGAAAGTCCTGGATGAGGCCCATGAGTTCCGGCGAGTCCTTCTGCAACAGCTGCAGGCGTTCACGGGGCGTCAGACCCGTAAGATCGGTGGTCACCCTAGTGATTTCGCTCGACTCCTCCTCGTCGCTGCTTCCTGCCGCCACATGGACATCGTCCAGCTGGAAGTCCTGCTCGCTGAACCGCTTGGCCAAGCGCAACTGAATCTTCTTGGCCTCCTCCTCCTCGGCGCGCGCCTGCTCCTCCTCCTGGGCGTTGTAGCTGCTGTAGTCCTGGTCCACAAAGTCCGTGTTGTAGTAGGTGCTCCTCTTGCTGCCCCAGTCCATTGTGTTGGGCAGATCGCGGTCATCGTCCTCGGCTCCCTCGATGTCGCTATCGCGCATCAAATCCGCCACATCATCGTTGTCCTGATCCTCATCGTCGTCGTCATCATCGCTAAAGGCCAGGACTTCCTGGCGGGGATCCTGCTGCTGGCGCTTCTTGCGCTGCTTGCGCAGATCCTCCAGTATCTCGCGCTCCTCCGCATCGTACTCCTGCTCGGAACCGGTCAGCTCATAATCGTCACCCTCGCTGTCCATTTTCTGGCCAGAATTTATCCAAGTAAAACAATAAAACCGAACAACACGTGCGTAAACAAACAAGTCCAAAATATATACCGTCCGGCTTTCAAATGCTTATTTTATTTAATATACCAGAACATTTTTTAGGATTTTTTTTATAAATGTTGGAGGTTGTATTCGCTAAAGTAAGAGGGTGAACTCGCTAACTGCGGAGGGTGTACTCGCTAAATATATAATACTCAGCGATATTTTTTTTTCATCCCTACTTTCCAGATAATGCCAGCATTGCCAGACCTTAAACACCGCCAGTTGAAACTACAGTTGCATTGAGGGCAAAATAAAAACTTGCAAATTTTCTATGAATTAAGCTAAATGATGGGGAAAGTGACCAAAATGAAGCCGCTAAAAGAACGAATTGATCAAATTGAGACGGATGTTATGCTCCAAAAAGAGTTTACTCAACGATTCCGATCCTCACGCGCCAAAACACATTCTCTGAATATGGATAGAAATATAAAGGTTTTGGTTGGAGATCAAGGCCAAAAAGAGGTCATAAATCTGGTAAAACTGTTTTAGATCAGCAAAGATTATCGAAAACTAATGACATGCCCGTTAAGATTACTTCTGAACCCAAAGATGATGAGGTTTGTTCTGGCAAATCGAGAAGTCAAGAGGTTTCACCTTTGCAGGAGCCATGTGACCAAGAAAAGCTCACTGTTCAAGTAGGTAATCTTTTTAGTATGAAATTTACGTCTACTAACGAATCCTCATTTTCAGTTGGCCCCTAATGATCCTATCCATCCCAATTCCCATCTTAATTGCAAGAAACAGCTAGGACTGGCGGCTTCAACTTTAAAGGAGGCTTGTGACCAGGACACACCCATTAGCCAGGTTTTTAATCTTAAAGGCCTGTCAACTACGGTATTTATTGATAAAAGAAAAACCCCGTTTTAGCCGGACGCTGACGATTTTCTTACCGATCCCAATTGCGTACCCAGCCAGGCATCCTCATCCTTAAGCCAATCGAAATCTCAGGAGAGTACCAAAAACATTGATCTCGGTCGTTTGCGACAACTCAATCTGCCGGGCGGCAATAAAAAATCGTTTGTCAAGGAGTGGCTAAGTTCAACAGGACCAGAGGAAAGGCATGCCAACCCACAAACCCAGCTGTGTTCCGGGGATATTCAGCTGCTTTCCAACAGCAAGGAATGGCTTAACTCGGCGACAGGATTGCCTAGCAGTCACTCTCTGAAAAAATCTGTGCACCAGGAAGCCATAGAGTTGCCTTGTAGTCAAACTTCCAAAGAATTTTCGACCCTTGATAGCGATGATGAGGAGTTAACCGGCAAGAATCCCTTTGCCAAAAGCAGCACAGATCCACAGACCTTGCAAGTGGAGGACTCGGATGCAGAAGAGGCGGAGGAGCGGATGATGGGCTTTATGCGACGTCTGCATTTCCGTGCTGCAGTTCCAGAAAGCTGTTTGGTTATTTTTATTATATTCTCAATACATATAAGTGTTTTTAACTTTGGTTTTATACTCAAACAGACGGATGCTGTGTTTATGGTGGACAGACCCAGAAATGCCGTCTCCCTGGGCAAGAAGTTGCCCACTTTGCGTCTGCAGGACAACTGCCAGGAACAGGACCTCATCATGATCTCCGTTTGCAAAGTTAGTAAAAGTAAAACCATGTACTAGCCCAATTTTAATTGTATTTTCGTGTAAACCCCAAAGGTTTATAGTCCTTTTCAGTTTTGGTTCCATTTTGTAAATAGCTCGCACGACACCCAATTGCTGGCCGAGTTGAACAGGAACATCAAGTGAGATTATGGGACTACCCTGCTGTTGATTAAGCACCTTTATTTTGTTTGCACCCTTTATAACCTTGTAGCACCTTTTATAACCATGAAATGCACGAAAGCTACAGGATCCCTGTGACGAGGTATTTTCAAAAAGCCGGATATATTTGCGCTGCAAATCACCATACTGGATGGCGTCGGGCCAGAATACTCGTCACTCCTCCAAAAAATGCCGATTGGATTTCCATATTCTATGTGGATTATGCATCGGCAGCTCAAGTGTCGCCGAGCGATCTGAAATTCTTGCCCGATTGGTTTACGGATGTGCCGCCATTGGCAGCCCGGGGTGCTCTCTCTTATGTCCATCCACTAGGACCCCACTGGTCTCCGGATAGTACGCTCCAGTTCCGGCGCTTGGTTCTCAAACGGGAGCTGCACGCCCAGGTGACCGAACTGGACGCGGATGAGGGCATACTCTTTCTGCGACTTTCACAAAAGAAAACATTCGATCAGTCAATCAATAAAAAGCTGGTCATCGCAAATCTGGCTGGGAAAAGTGATCACTACAGTCGGGAGCTCATCGAATACAATTGCGGAAGAAGACTACGTTACCTGAGAGAACGATTGCCTAGGTAGATTTGATCCTTTTATACAAAATTACCTTTGCTAAATGTGTTTCCTGTTTCATAGCTTCGAAATCCTGGAGTCCAGGTTAATCCCCCTGAAGGATGAAGATTTCGAGGCGGAGTTCGATGAGATAATTTATTCTCCGTCCTTCTACATGGATTTTCAGCTACCCGAGCTACACAATCCCTTTCGTTCTGGCCTCCTAAAAGCGCTGGCCGCTTGGATGCCCGCCTACCGAAAGGAGCAGGAGCACTGGGCCCGGATTTACAAACAGGCCAACCAAAAAGTGAGGGAGGCTCAGCATCCAGCCGTTTTGGGAAGGCAGGAGGTAAATCTGAATGAACAGATTGAAAAGGAGATCGGTGACGCCAAGGAACATGTAGATCAAATTGAGAAAAGAGAACCAGAAGATCAAAAAAAGTAAAGAAAAGCAAAATGAGCCGAAATATCAAAAGGAGGAAGTGGAGAAAAATGATCAAGTAAAACAAAATGAGCTAGAAAACAAAACGAGGAAGTAGAAGGAAAGCAAATGAAGTAAGACGAAGGCCAGTTAATCGTATTATTGATCACTTTAATACTTAATTGCCCTTAGTTGACTAATCTTACGTAAACTTTTTCGCATGTTATAAGTGGAGGTATCCTTAAAATCGCATAATTTAAAAACGCCACTATTATCCTCTATAGCAATTTAACCCCCGATAAAATTGTACTTGACAATAACTTGAAGTTGACGAAATAATTGAAATATTGTTCACTCCGGAATACAGGTACACTTAATACAAATCCTGTTTACTAGACACAAAAATATATTTTTTTCATTAGAAATCTGACTCACTGTAAATTCCTTGAACAAATACAACATACTTTGTATTAAATATATCACCACCATTTTTTAAATATGAAAGTAAATATTTAATATTTTTATTACTTTTGCAGCAGAGTATGTACTTTTGAAACCTAAACCTCTTACATTTTCCAATTCAAATTTAAGATCATCTTTTCAATTATTTATTTTATTTACCGAAAAGCAACAACAAACAAATTTTGTATATATTTGCCTTGACACCTGTCAAAACAATCAGACTTTCACTGTTGGCTGGATATTAGACGCGGTCGTTTGGTCATCTGTGCAAAGCGGGATTTGTAGATACCACAGACGCCTGGCAGCGACAATAAACTGATGGGATGAGATCTAAATTAATATGGGTATGAATTTTAAATTTTATTTTAGATCGAATTTAAATAAATAAGCTTTAGGGAACATCAAATTTAAATGACTAATTGTCCTGGTTATAATGTGAACTATCAAATTATATATTTCAGTATACTGACCACCTTTTTCTGGGAGATATGGGCACAGATTTCGGACTGGAACTGTGAATATCTGCCTGTCCGATTCTCTCCTGAAGCCTAACGATCGGTGGTCCCAATGAACTTGAAGGTGGACAGCAGGAACTCGTGATGAGGAGGCGGAAACGGCGACGATTGCTCTGCCTCCTCCACCTGCGCAACAGCATCGCTGAAGTGGTTGGAGTACATGGGAATCAGGGCAGGTGCTGGGACCATCTCTTCGTAGTTGCTGCTCATCCGGACGATGGGGGTCGATTTGAGGTCGGGGAAGGCCTTGAACCAGGGCAGCATCAGCGAAATCTGCCGCCACTTGTTCAGGGTGATGGGCAGTTGATTCTGCTCGAGATCGTCGTCATCCTGCTCCCGGGGCACTCCCCGAATCGGTTGATGACTAGCTATGGTTACGGAGCGGGAGCACAAGGCCAAGCGATCCTCATGGCCCAGCGGAGCAGTGTCCATCTCCAGATCAGACTCCATGGAGGCGTCCTCTTGAAATTTCTGTGGCGAGGTGGCCGCCGTGGCGGTGCTGCCAATTGTAGTGGCCTCCGTCATGGTCGAGCTGGGCGAGAAGCGGGCCAGCCGCAGGGGCGAGGTGTCCTCGTGGAGATGCCGCCGCCGCCGCTGCAGCTGCTCCTCCTCATCCTCGTCCTCCTGCTGTCGTCGCCGCCGGCGCTCCAGCTCGTCTGCCAGCTCGGGATTTTGTAGTCGCAGCAGCTCCAGCCGCTGCTCCTCGCTACCCAAACCCTCCAGGGATGACATCGATGGCCTCTGCCGACGAAAACGCAGGTGGTTCTCCTCCTCTGAGCAGGCGCAAGGGGAGAGGGAATCCTCCTCTAGCATGAGCTTCTCCTCCAGCCTCCTGAAGTGCTCTTCCTTCAGCTGCAGCTCATCCTCCTCCTCCTCCCGCAGGATGCGTTGCTGCTCCGCCGACTGCTCGTTCTCATCCGCCAGGAGTTCCATTTGACTAGCCGTCAGCTGGCGGTAGTCCGGATACAAGTGACTGGCCCTGAAAGTACAGAATTAGTACTTAAGATTACGTATGTCCTTAATTGTAAAGTAAGATGATCATTTTGTTAAGATGAACTTTTCGTATTGTTCACTCAAATTATAAATAGTTTATGGTATAGTTTGTTCAAGTAGTTTATTTTTATATTCTGTAAAGAGAATTTTTATAAATGTATATAAAACCTTATAAGATAACTTTATTTATTTAAAATGAAGTAAAAAATTAATACAATATAAACTTTAAATTAATAGAAAAACAGTTTTAACTGCCTCTCAAATTAAAACATCATTAAGAATATAATCAAAAATTGCAAACAGATTTTTATCCATGTAAAGCAGTAACGATTTGAAAATAATGAAATAAAACATATTATACAAATTTTAAACCAAACTATACAAGAATTGGAATATAATTAAAAATATAATAAAATAATTGCTAATGCTCTTAATATAGTTAGTTTATAGTTTTAAAACTTAAGCTATAAAGCTAAATAAATAAATAAATAAATAAAATAAAAATATCAGCTAGAGGGACCTTTATAGGAAATAATAGGTTTAATCAATATAACCTCATATTTTTCTGTATTAATCTGACTGTTTTTAAGTATTAATTATACGATGAAAGAGTTGGATAGCTTAGAATATTGTTAAAAGTTAAGCGAATTTTTCTGGGAAAATGGTCAACAATATGAATGTAAAAAACTTTTAACCTGTGGCACCTTATCATCTGCCTTGGTGACTGTTGGGGAACGAGAACCTGCGGATTGGGTTCCAGATGTGCCCGATTCCCGGCCGCCTGTGAGTGGCCACCACAGTGGCGTCGCTGGCGGACCTGGAGCAATCGCTGGAGATTCTGGCGGGACTGGTCGTTGCCGTAGGATATCCGCTTGGCAGCCCGTTCCCGGCGGTCCAAGGCATCTTTCCGGGCATCGGCCACCGCCTGCATCTTGGCCGTAAGCCGGAGCTCGCTCCTCAGGAATCCTCCGGCCTCGGCCATCTCGGCGTTCCTTCGCGAGATCTCCTTGCCCAGTTCCCGTGCTCTGGCCAATGCCTCCACCCGCTGATCGTAAGTCCTTTGCTCCTGCGTGGTGTTGCCCAATCTGAGATGATTCCTCCGGCGGAGATTGTGTCCAGGTGGAGAAGTGGAGGTGCCACCGGGGGATCTCTTGGCATTGGGGGCTGCACTGCCAGCACCTCCCTCCTTGATCTCCTCAATCTCCCGGAAAAGCCGCTTCAAGCGCACTTGTCGCATCTTTAACTCGATGGTGCGATCGTTGAACTCCTGAATCCGCTCGTACTCCTCCCTCAATCTCTGCAGTTGTCCATTCTTCTTGCTGTTGTTGAACATCCGCCGGAAATACGGTGTCGACTTGATCTGATACGACATGGTCTATATAGTCTATATAGCTCGAGCCTTTGGGATATTTCTTTTCAGGGCTTAACACTTGGTTTTCGGTCTATTTGTGGTCTGTATTGTGGCAGTCTCAAATGGCACTTGGCAATTTTGCAGCTTCCTAAAGGTTTTTTGTGAGTGTTGGTCTGACGAAAGTGATTTTTTCATGTGTGTGATTTTAAGTTTTGTTAGCAAATGCCAACTGAAAAATGTAAAACCTCTGACGTAATCCCTACCCGCCTACTAATCGTTAATAATCATTGGAAAAATACGAAAATGTCACCTAGAAATTTAAGCAAAAATATAAATATCTAAATAAAAGGGAATATATGTTCAAAGACAAAGTAATTCCTTTGTCAAATAAACTTTTGCCACTGAGAACTACTACTTACATATATAAAAAGTTATTAAATAAGGTTATATAAGAGCTGCAAACAAGTTAAATAGGTAAGATTAGCTTTCTACAGTATCATGATTTGGGTAATTCTCACTAAAAACCACACGAAGTTTCGGATTTTGATATAGAACTGCATTACCTGATACAACCAAAATAACTGTAAAACACTGTGTTAAAAAAATCATGATTAACACTATGTCCTTTACACAAAAAGTGATTCAAATTAGCTGAAAATCAAGAAAAATCTGAAAAATAACCCATAAGCCAAGAGAAAAGTGGAAAATTATAGTCAGAGTGGTTACAATTTATTGATCGAATTGCTAAGTGCCTAACCTTAAAGCTATTTTGATTGTCCAAAAGGCATTTCGAGTTGAGTTTAAAACAGATTACATTTCTCAGACCTAAGAGGTTATGTCGCAGACACGCCTCCACGCCCTAAAGCATACATTTACATCATATTGAGGTTAGGTTTTGGGTTTTAGCCCGTATTTTGTTTTTAATAATCTAGTTTTTATGACCACACGCGCATCTCCTACTCCCACATCGCTTACGAGCTATACAATTACATATGACACGACTTATAACGAATACAAAAAGAACACTTTTACGGGGAACATTGGTTAAAATCTAGTTGAGAGCCTGCTCCGAATTAAGATTATTCACTGCGTTTTCTAGGTTTTTACCAGTTTGGCCATCATGTTGGAGAGCTTATGCTCATCCGCTCCAGAAAAAGCAGCCACACGACGATTGTTCTTGATGAAGACGAAGGTGGGCATGCTGCGCACCTTGTAGCGCTCCGTCAGCTCGTCGAACCTGTCCACATCGATCTTGAGAACCACGGCCTTGGAGGAGTACTTCCTGGCCAGCGATTTCACCGTACTGTCCATATCCTTGCAGGGACCGCACCAGTTGGCGTAGAAATCCAGGACGACCAGTTTGTCACTTGCCGCCTCGATCTTCTTGTGATAATCGGACATGGTGCGAATGACTGACATTTTGGCGGATGTTCTGTTTTTAGGTGTTGACTTGAAGAACTCTGCGGACACGTCGTTAATCTTTCGAAGTTGATTCTGCACTGGATGCACCGGCTGCTCTATGGGGGCTTTTATAGGCCCCGAGTCCCGTTTTGGAGACTGGAATTCCCGCCGAATTTCCGCTGAATTCGCGATTTTGCCGCCTCTCTCACAAAATTCAAAATGGCGGATTATGGGGAGAAAAACATGGCGCCCATGGCAGAGCTGCCAGCCGGTCTCAAAAGCACTCGTACTCGGGGTCCCACTAATTCACCACGGCAAAACTATCGTAGCTTTTTTGAAATTAATAGTTATTATATGAATAAGCCTTGTATTTCACATATAAATATAAGCTATAAGCAATAATTTACTTCAAAGTGTGGAATTATTGCTAAATCTATTTCGTAATTTATTATTGCACTACTAAATAAATGTACATTTAAATGAACAACTGCTTTCTTGGAATTGTAAGAATAGCAAAAAATAAAAGTTGTTTTGCATATGATAGTAATAACACTCAATATGACAAAAATGTTATATATATATATATATTTATATATTTATCAATTTGAGTTATCCGCTTTTGAATTAATTATTACACAATTTCCAAATAAATGCTATTAAATGCAAATCTAATTAAAAATATGTAAAAGTGTTAAAATTGAGCTACAAATTTCCCAAATTAGCTTTCATAGTAAGATATCTGAATAGTAATGATACTAATAATTCAATTACTTTATACTTTAGATATGGTCAAAATAAAAAGAAACTCACGAAATACTGTTTTAAAAAATATTTCCAATTACAGATTTTAATCGTGATGTTTATTATTTAAAGTTTGCAATTTTGACCATGACAGTTATTGGTATTTTGTGTGGTATTTTTCCCTTTGCCCGCGAGTGGTCACACTTATTCACCATAGCTGTCGTTTAAAACATTTTTTTGATCCTAGTAGGCTTTCTTTTGGCAGATTTCATTTTGGCAAGTCACAGACTTTCTTTTTGGCCCCGTACTTCGATGTGAGCAGACGTTCCGCTCCAAAAAACTTAAATAAAAAAAAATTAAATCCAAATTTTTCATCTAATTTGAATAAACCTTCTATTTGCTAGTTAAAATCATGGTGTATCTGGTGAGGAACAAGGACGATCTCGACCAGCAGCTGGCCCGTGCCGAGGACAAGCTGGTGGTGATTGACTTCTATGCCAACTGGTGTGGACCGTGCAAGATTATTGCCCCCAGGTTGGAGGAACTGGCGCAGCAATACTCAGATCGTGCGGTGGTGCTTAAGGTGAATGTGGATGAAAACGAGGAAATTACAGTGGACTATAATGTGACCAGCATGCCCACGTTTGTGTTCATTAAATGCGGCGAAGTACTGGAGCTTTTCGTCGGCGGGAACTCGGACAAACTGGCCAAATCCATGGAGAAATATGTTCTGGATGTGGATTCCACCGAGCAGCGCCGCTCGTCCAGCCATCTGGGATCCGAGGATGTGTGCAGCGCTGGGCCAAGTGCCTCCTCCAGTGGCAGTGTCAACGATGTGGTCATCTGCGAGCTCTCCGAGCACGATCAGGAGGCAGTGGAGGCTATGATGGAGCAGTAATTTCCGCATTTATAATACCCAAGTGCCACTTTTTTGGACATCTTGAAACTCCACCAAAATGCAAATCTTTCCAAATGTTTTAGCATTGAGCTCCACAATACTTTAGATGCCACGATATTAATCCTAGAAATCAATAACGCGATCCTAATTTCAAAACACTTAATGAAGATCTTTATTACTTTCAAGATTCAAGCCGCTATTCTTGTAATCTTATAATTAAGATACTTTACACACAAACGATATACCACAAGACGCTGGACAACACAACATTGAAGTCTAACTACTCTATATACCCAACCAGGAAAAGATGTATACACAAATAATCTGGAAGTCGAAATACTCTATATGCTATCTCAATCACGAAACGCTGGATACTAAAACAACTTCGAAGTCGAAATATTCTGTACAATATCTCAACCATTAAATGGAAATATGTACAATCGACTGCTGCTAAATAACACATCATTTGCTGGTTTCTTGTTAACACTATTTTGTTGCCAAAAACTGAAACAACTACTATTTATTTATTAATTAAAATATCATATCTATAACCGATAAATTTGAATTGATTATTGATTGGTCTGAGTAATTTTTAAGTTTCAATAAATGATATGAAATATATGCTGTGCAATTATATAAAAAGGCTCCTATTTGTATGCTTCGATATTTTTGTGTAGCAAAAAATCATTCACAAATCTGATAAGGAGGGCTATATTTTCCTACTTGGTCTGTATAAATCGAAGTTGGTATAAGCTACATCAAGATTTCCATGCCCATTTCCCTAGTTTAATTCACAAATTTCCATAGGTATATATTGATTTATTCTATACTTTAAATTAAGAACATAATTGGAGTTGCTTGAACAGCCAGCGAGCGACGTGTACACTTGATTTGTGTATGCGGTGAGCTCACTTCTTGGCGAAGGTGATCTTCATTGCGTGCGTGGGCGTAATCCTGAAGCCCTGGAGCGCCTCCTTGGCGGCGTTACTTTGCAGCTCCGTGGTAAACTCCACGAAGGCGATATCGTGACGGTTCGGCACGAGACGCACCTCCTTGAAGCCAGGGAACTGGTTGAACAGCATGGACAGCATCATCTCGTTGGTCTCCTCGGGCAGGTTGGTGAGGAAAAGGATCTGGTTGGGCGGCTGCTCCGTCTGTGTGTTCGGGTTTGAGTTCTCCGCGCTGGTCGGCTTCTTTTTCTTGTCCCTGTGGGGCAGAAAATGAAAGTGATGAGTAAGGGTAATCAGATACAGAATAAATTTGCGATATTTTAGACGGTTGATATATGTATTAATCCCAGTTAATGGGGTTTTAAAAAGTGGCCCAAAAACAAGTCGAGAATCAGTCTCAAATGACAATAAAATTATGCAGAAATTAAGGACCATGAAAGAGCTCTAAGTTCAGGATCAGAGGAAACAAGGATCACATTAAAAAGGTGCAGGATTCCAGTGCCATTTAAATTTCGCCCAAAGTCAAGACAAGTAGTGCGAAAATCAGTTCTAAAGTCAGTCAACTAAAGCTTCTCAAAATGGAGGACCGTGACAGTGCACTTAAGCGCAGGATCTGAAAGACCGAGGAATACATTAACCAAGGATACTTACTTCTTTTCCTCGGCTCCTGGCGCCGGTTTCGGTGGCTTGATCTTCTTGGGTCGTTCCTTGAAGGTTCCCTTCAGCTTGGCCACAATATCCGAATCCGATTTCGAGTAGGCAATCTGCATGGGCTTGTCGTAGAAGGGGAATCCCTGCATGGTGCGCAGGGCGTTTGATGCGCTCCCGATTTCCTTGAAGATCACAAATGCCTGGCCGCGCATCTTCAGGGTTTTCAGTGCCACAATGTCCAGGATTTGGCCGAACTGCGAGAAAATCGCGTACAACGACTTCTTCAGCTCCTCCTTCTTGATCTTCTCGTTCAGGTTGTTAATATAGATCGTCTGGTTAGGTCGCACGTCCATGCTGGCGGCCTTTTATTCAATTAATTTGGCAAAAAACAAGATTTTCGTTCCGGTAAAAAAAATGCTCCCTTTCGGTGAGTTGGTGCTGGAAAGTGTCCGAACTGTCAACGCGTTGTCGCAACGTACCGGCGTTATCGATATATATCCAGTGCTGTAAAGTGGTGTTGGAAACTAGCCAAAAGTTGCTAGATACATTTTTACTTCATATATTTTTTAGTTAGGATTTAAATTCAATAAATATGTATAAGGTGAAAATAATAAAAAAATTAACAAAATTGTATTCCTTAAATTGAATTTTTTATTATTTTAAAAAACAGCTCTTGACTTATGTTTTATCAATTAAAATAATATTACTTGAAAGTTGTCAATAAATCAATAAAAATTATGTTTAATCCGGTGGAATTTTTTTTTAAATAAGTTTAAGAATACTGTATATGTAATAATATTTTTTAAGCTTAATATACCTATTTATTATATTTTTCGTTTAATATGGTAGTGATTGCCTTTTTTTTATTGCTTTTATTTACAAAATCTGGCTGATAAATAAAAAACTAGCTATTTATTTGTATAAACTAAAATGGGCAACAATTTGAAATATAAATTCATGAAATAGTTTCTTTTAACATTGCCCTAACATATTTTTAAATTGGAATCGATTTTATTGAATTTCATCAATTAAAAAATATTTTGGCTTGAAAGCCGTCATCTCTATTTGCGATAACATATGCCGGCGCCTATCGTCTATTGAATTGAATTGTTTTGGTTTGGCCTCGCGGCATATCTTTGTTTTTTGTGTTATTTATGAGAATTCCGAAAGATGCTGCCCAACGCCAACGACAAGAAGGATCGCTATGCCAAATTGTCCTTCCTTGGCGAAGGTCAGGTGAGTCCTGCCAAGATCGAGACCAAAAGATCCCAACTAACGTGCGCTTTTCACTTTTCCGAACAGTTTGCCATTGTTTATAAGGCCCGTGACACGGTGACCAGTCAAATTGTGGCCGTGAAGAAGATCAAGAAGGGGTCCCGCGAGGATGCACGAGATGGTATAAACAGGACGGCTCTGCGGGAGATCAAGATCCTGCAGGAGCTGCAGCACGAGAATATCATCGGTCTGGTGGATGTTTTTGGGCAGCTTTCGAATGTCTCGCTCGTTTTCGACTTCATGGACACCGACCTGGAGGTGATCATCAAGGATACCAAGATTATCCTGACCCAGGCGAATATAAAGGCGTATGCCATAATGACTTTAAAGGGACTGGAATACCTGCATCTGCATTGGATACTCCATCGCGATTTGAAGCCCAATAATCTGCTGGTCAACAGTGATGGTGTGCTGAAGATCGGTGATTTTGGTTTGGCCAAATCGTTTGGCTCACCAAACCGCATTTACACACACCACGTGGTCACCCGGTGGTATCGTTCGCCGGAATTGCTTTTTGGAGCCCGGCAATATGGCACCGGAGTGGATATGTGGGCCGTGGGTTGCATCCTGGCGGAGTTGATGTTGCGGGTGCCCTTTATGCCGGGCGATTCGGACCTGGATCAGTTGACCAAGATCTTTGCCACACTGGGAACACCCTCGGATGCGGAATGGCCGCATTTGGGCAAGCTGCACGATTACCTGCAGTTCAGGAACTTTCCGGGCACTCCACTGGAAAACATCTTCACTGCCGCAGGCAATGATTTGATCCACCTAATGCGTCGACTGTTCGCCATGAATCCTTTGAGGCGAGTGTCGTGTCGGGAGGCCCTGAGTATGCCGTACTTCGGCAATAAGCCCGCTCCCACGGTGGGTCCCAAACTGCCCATGCCCTCGGCCATTCTGGCCGCCAAAGAGGGCGCCAATCCGCAGGCCGGCGAGGAGAAACCAGCGCTCAAGCGAAAGCTGGTCGAGACCACAGTGAGGGGCAATGGATTGGCCCAGAAGAAGCGACTGCAGTTCTAGCATACACTTTAGGTATCAATAATTTGTGGAAGCGTTGAGGAATGCATTGCAATCCTAATACGAATCAGTTTCCAAGAATTTTTTTATTATATCTTAAAAATTTATAATTAGTTTGCGGTGTTCAAGAGAAGCAATTCTTTATTAATTTGATCCCATCAAATCAAATCAGTTATAAATTTCACTTATTAGAGAGGGCAAAAATATTAGAAATATCCTTCCATTGTTTAAGGAATGCATCCAAAAACAAATCAGTTCCCAAACAGTTTCTATTATATCTTAAATATTTGTAGATGATTTTAAGGAATCAATTCTAAGGGATTTGTTATTGATTTACATAGTCTACAATTTCCGTGAAATAAGTCAATGAAATTTCACTTCTTTGCGTTGCATAAAAAATATACCTTTGTTTGCATTGTTATAATTTGTAATTGACTTGCAAACCTTTTCCTCATTTATCTTAACTTCCATTATTAAGCAAAAGAGGAGGAAATCTCTGTATGATAAAACTAAGACTACGCTTAAGATGAGGATGATTTATTAAAGATGTGACTTAAGGCGAAGTGAAATTGGTTGTTCTTCAGAAGAAATGTCTAAAACTATTAGGTAACCTTTGGAAATAATAGAAAATAATCCTAGTTGAAAATCTCCAAATGTAAGGGAAATCTTAATGTAATAATGCAATCTTAATAACTGATAATCCCCTAGCATAAGTATTTTATGATCCAAGTAATCCGGACGAAATACATTTCTCCGCCTAGAGATTTCCAGCTATTCCTGGCACCCGATTCCCAGCCGTCATCCGAAAGACATCCGAATCTCAAAATTCTCAGCGCACGTTTCGTTCATCGTTTTTATTTTTAAATACCGCAAGATTTCCCGTATCGACATCCCGATTTAGAGGTGGCCATGTCGAAACCCCTGCATCTGATGGCCAGGGACCAACTGGCGGGCATTGCGGAGGAAGAGGGGCGTCGCAAACGCGCCGAGATGCGCTGGAGTTATGGCAACAAGTTCTCCAGCATAAATCTGAATAAGATGCGCCAGAAGAAGAGCACCAGTGGCGATTTGGTTGCGACTAAAGCGTTGGTAGGGCATACGCCCTGTGAAGCGGATGTTCCGCAGCCAAAGGACAAGGATATATCATTGCGACGGATCGCCTCGAGCTTTGCCCATGTCAGGGATTTGGTCAGCGGCAATTGTGCCGCCTTGCCGCCAGAGGACAGTGAGGATGATGCCCGTGAAGAGCGCGCCGAGGTGCTTATTTGCAGCCAGTCGATGCCGCCTGGCGAATCTCCAACGCCAGTTGATCCAGTCATAATACCCCCTAAACCCCTCGAACCCTTCGAACCCATTGAAACCATCGAACGCCCAGAAGATGTGGTATCCCAGCCGGGTTCTTTGAAGTTACCCAAAATACTGCCGGATCCATTGCAGCTCGAATCCCGGGCCACCGAACGTTGGCAACAGCTGGGCAGTACGGTTTCCGCCTTGTTTCGGGCCCGACGCTACATCGACAGTCCGGAGACCCCGGTGGCACAGACCCGACGACTGCGGGAGCAGCGCGAACTCCTCGAGGCCTTCACCCGGCCCTTTCTGTATGAGGCCTACAAGCGGGAGTAGCTGCCCTGGTCCCCCACATAAATTCGAAACCCAGTTCTGCGCCCATCCAGCCCATTGAAATTCAGCTCATATGTTGTAAATCAAATTCATTTCATTGGATCTCGCATTTCGTAGATTGGTATTTATCTTCGTAATCCTCCTGGGGGGCAATGGGTGGGCAGCACAGCTGTAGCTCGTAGTCCGGATTCCTTGAGCCGGATTACGAGCAGCGGCACCTGTCGCGCGGACACTCCGATCCGTAGTTGAGGCACTTGTCCATGCAGTAGGTATCGGCTCCTTCCTGGCCAGCCAACTCACCAATGGCCACGCAGTCCTGGCTAAAGTTCGGTATTTATTTAATATAACAATTGGGTTTCTATGGCATTTATGTATACTCACGGACAGTGGCAGGCGTCCTCGGGACAATTGGGCGGGTAACGCAGGCAGTTGATCTCGCACCAGTTGTCAATACCTGGCAAAGTTCGGAAGGCTGGGGCAGCTATGCACTTCTGATCACTAAAAAGAGTACAAGAAGTACCCAATAACAAATGTTTCAGAACAGAGTTCTACCCCTCAAAAGGATGAATTAAAGAGTTTTATATCCTAATTTTACTTTTCGATCAGCAAATAAATACATATTTGTTTGTGTAAAGTTCCTGAAGAAAGAGCCTCTTTTCTGAGCAGATCCATTCATATAATACGTAACATAAGACTCTGCCCCATGAAAAGCATGTAAATAAAGTAACTTAATAAGTTTTGTGTGTGTTCCAAGCCTTAAAACCCACGAAAGGCCTTAGATAAGAAGAACTTAACATTTGATCTTTGCTTTTTCTTTCCAATATTTATGTGTGAGGAGTCCATCTCGTAGATTAGTACATAACAGTAAGTTGTGACCTGAACATTTGTTGCCTCCTCAACTTTTATTTTGTTCTCTTGGAAAATTCCCAGTTTGGTGCAGGAGACCCAGCTAGGAAAGAGGAAGGCTTTTCGCCAAATGCAGATGTTCGAGGAGGTCCGTCGTAGGGCCGAGCACCGCCGATATTTGGCGGGGCTGCGGATTAGCTACGGCAATGCCATCTCCGACTGCAACAGGCGCATCAAGGCCGGCCAAACGGCCCAGTCTCCCTTTCATTCCAAGCTCGGTAATCCTGGCCAGCCAATCAATAGGATCGTACGTGGGAAAACCGGTGCACCGCCGGTCCGTGTGGCCACGAGTAATGCCTACAGTTGGCAGCTAGGCACGCCCCTTTCAGCATCTACGCCCCTTTCGGCATCCCCGCCCCTTTCGCCGAATCGAAATGGGAACCGGATGCCGAAACGGCCAACAGTGAAGACGGACTCATGGGACTTCAATCTCAGGCAGTATGAAATGCTGCAGAAGCGCGCTTTGGCAAGCTCCCTGTTGGCCGAATACCTCAGGGAAGACAATATATCAAACAATTAGTGTTTAATGTAACGATGAATATAGAAGTATTTTACTTTTTTTAACCTATTCCAATGGGGCTAAGGTTTCCTCAAGGGTACTAAAGGAGTGGGATCACCAAACACCATCTATGGTGCGATAACTTGGCTCGATTAAGGTCAGATTAAGGCTAATTTGTATAGAAATATCTAACATGAAAATGGTTTACAAAACTAACGACCGCTTAAATTAAAAATTGTAAAGGAGATTAACCAAATCAAACCTAAATTACATTTTAAAATCGCAGTAGCCCTATCTTTGCAGTTCGGCTGTCAGTCTGATTTTATTCGAGCATGGACGTCATCTGAGCTCCTCTCTATATGTTGTTTATTTCACCAGTCAGCTAATACAGTTACTCAAGGCACTCGACAGCGTTCCACTCACATCACATCACATCGCAACATTTCGGGACAATAGTAACCAAGGCTCCACTCCACTTCCCGAACCGCCGAAGATCGCAGATGTCGCAAAAGATCGACGGACAGCACCAATCAATATGAACCGCAACCGCATCAACCCGATGCGGCAAATGGATCGGGGCCTGCAGGAGGTCATACAAATGCAGGCAACCGCCGGAGGAACTCAAGGTCATCCCCAGGCCCAAGGTGGGAACCAGGCACAACCTTCCGCAGCCCAAACAGTGCGCCGCAAGACGACTTACACACGGACGGAGATGCTGTCACGCGGACTGCCCACCGGTGAGTAAATCCTTGAGATTCCAAAATGGATAACAGCTAATTTGTAGACTCATTTGCAATTGATTTAATATTTCTTTTAAAGCCACTATGATCTAATCTGATCTAATCCTTTTTTCAGTTCAAAAGTCCATGCCCGTAAACCAAGTGTCACCAAAACCACGCTATCCACAACCACCGAAGGCTGTCTTTCCAACTACTCCACTGGGTCAAAGCACTAATGTCCCCATTGCCAATAGTACTCCCCGAAGGCAACGGAGTTTTCTACCCCGCGTGGCCAGATTACCGACCAAGTCGGATAAATCACCGAATAGGATGCCGAATCGCTTAAGTCGGGAGACTGAGGCTAAATTGGAGCAGTCACAAATCCCCATGGGCCGGCACAAAAATCCACATTTGATGAATACACCACACGGCAGTGATAGCAGTAGTCCGGCTCGAAGGACCAATGCAGTTGTTCAAGATGGATTTCTCAGTGGCAGTAGTAGCTCCTCGGAACGTCGCAAGATCAAGTTGGCCAAGGCCATCCGCTTACCAGATGATCAGAACAAGAGTTTCGTCTATTTGTGCAAGCCGGTCAAGAAGGTCAAGGAGTTGCTCACTGCCAGAAGAATGCGCACTAGTTGTGAGCACTTGAGTCAGCCGATAGAGGGGGACTTATCCTTGGAGGAGGAGTCCATCAGACTTCCAAGAACCATGTCCGAGGAGGCTCTCCTCAGCAAAGGTGTTGGCGAAGGATATGGGTCCTATACTCTCTCACCCCTCGAGGGACTAACCCAGTCATCGAGTACCACTAGTCAGTTGGACGGTCCCACCAATGAGGCCATGCAACTACGTCAACAGCAATTGGAGGCCAGAACAACTTTGAGCAGTCAGGAGCGTTTGAGATCCCAATTGCGGGAGGTCCGCCAAAGGCAGCGACATTTGCGCCAACTGGAGCAGGATCAGCGGGTGAAGGAGCAGCGCCAGTTGGAACTGGATCAGGTTTGCCAGAATCTGCCCACTTTGCAGCACGAGATCCGGATGCTTCAGCAGCTGGGTGAGAAATTGGAGGTCACACTTCGAGTGACCAATATACCCAAACCCCTGACGCCCAAGCACAGAGTCGTGGAGGATATGAACCAACACTCCTCCACCCTTTTCTATACCCCGCGTACGAGTCCCTATCACCCGGATGAATTGCCCATCACCAAATTGGGTTGTCTTCGGGTTGAACGGATTGCTGTGGTTCAGCAAAGGGCCAAGGCCACGGCTTTTATTTTCGGTTTGGTGCGCGAGTTCCGCATTGAGACGAAGACATTGAACGAACTGAAGACGGCAGATGATTCGCAATGTTTTTATTTACCAGCTCCCAGGGGGGAACCACCCTTGGCCAGCCTAATAGAAACCGAAGCCGATCCTCTCCAGCGCACTAATTTCCGAAAGTTAAGAGAGAACCCAAATGTCCTGCTGCAGCAACTGAGACACCTAAACGCGGAAGCGGGAAGGCCCTTCAACCTACTGGATCATGACAACATGTTCTTTAACAGTCTGGCCTTTGCGGAGTCAAAAACTTTGGGTGGTAGCGCTGCCGAGGAACTTGAAATGGCCACGCGAGAGACGGGAGGCGGCGGTGGGGGAACCATTGCCAATTATGGCGGAGCCATCGCCTATTCACGCCTCTCGGTGCGGGTCAATGAACGCCAATTTCTGGAAAGGTCATTGGATCAGGGGGATAAACAGCTGCCACGACCACCTCGAAGTCGTAGTCAAGTTCACAACACCACGCAAACGGAACTTGAGTCGCCCAGACAAAAAAGGAAAATCCCCGAACCGGAAACGGAAATCAGTTCCCCCGACTATACACCGAACCCCAGTCCCAGATTGACTAGGCGAAAGAAATTGGAAGGGTCTAAGATCAAAGCATCCAGACAGGCGACCAGGGAACCCGATCCCAAGCCGAAAAGGACCAGGATAGACATACGTCGAGTGGCGGCCATGTCGCCAATTCAAAATCGCATTGAGCCCAAGGTGCGGATGCAGTTGCTCAAAACCGTGCTTGTGGGGTTTGTCCAAGTTGCTGTTATTCTAGTTCTCATCATGGCCTTCACCTATCCGGATGTGAGCTGCTCACTGCCTTAAAAATAAACACCACTTACACAGGACACAGCATCTCTCTGCCTAAAGAAAAAACCCTACGCCTTTCAAAATTATTCGACCTGTGCGATAGTTCCACGACTACGAACAAAATATCAAGAACAGCTTAGCAAGTAGCAGAAAAAGCAGAAGATGCCGAACCAATCCACAAAACCCCCGATAACCGATTCGGTGTTCGAGTTCACACTTAGATTTTCGAATTTTTTGTTTTCTTACTGGGCCAAAGCGATGCCAATGTTAATAAAATTTCATGTGCAATGTGAATCGTTTATGCCCCAGCACCATAACTGATTCAAATCGATTTGAATCGGTTCCGTATCGGTTAAGCAAAGCGGTTAAGCAAAACAATATAAATGCATTTATATCGGTTTTATGTTTATTTAAGCATTTATTTATATACAGCAGTGTGTGTGTATGCGTGTGTGTGTACCATAACCGTTTAAAGACTTAAAATGTAGGTGGTCGAAAAATTTACCTTTACCCGTTTCTTTATGAACAACTCTGACCCGATTTTTGGGCGGGAATCCAGCGAGATGAGTGTTTTGGTTTTTGGTGGCAGTTTCAGCTAGGCTAAAAACGATTTCGAAGCTGTTTTCGAGGGGGTAGCGGGTAAGCGGTTTTAAGCAGGTATCGGGTAAGCTGTTTAGCGGGTAAGCGGTTAAGCCTTGCCTCGTTTGCGCGCATGCCGCGTGGCATTTCTAAAAACCAAATCAAGAGTTAAAATTGTGCTCGCTGATCTTTCTTTACAAATATAAATATTTTGTTGGAGAAAGAACTATAAAACCGTTTGATAAAAGTGGAAATCGGTTATCGGAAAAATATAGTTTTAAAACTATTACAAGTGAGATTTGGAAAATACATGTTAAGTAAAGGGATAGTACCTAATGAATGTCCAAGAAAAGAAAACTTAAGGAAGAAATCGGAGGGAAATGAGAATGTTAAATTGCAAAGAGAATAGTTAAATAACCTTTGGAAACATTGAAGTTTTTAAGTAAAGCGATGACAGAGTGAAATAAAAAGCTAAAGGAAATCTAAGATAAACGAAATAAAAAGCTAAAGAAAATCTAAGATAAGTCCTCGTTACCGAATCGGAATTATGCAACTGTAGAATACATTACAACTTTAATTTCCAGATTTCCATCACCCGACTTACCGCACAATAAGTGGAAAGATGTTGTTGTCCGCTGGCGCCCGATAATCCCGATAATAGAGCAGATATGGTGACTTGTTGTTCACGAAGATTGGTGGGACACCACCTCCGGTGTTCGAGATAATTGCTATATCCGCACAGTTCCGGAAAGTTTCTAGGGGTTAATATGGGTTAATTTTGCAAAAAATGACAGGAAAAATATATCAAAAAACAAACATGTATTAAAAAAAGGATCACTAAATATGGAAACTATATTTTTTTAATATTAAAAAAAATCTGTTTTTTTTAAATCGAGATAATTATTTTCTCTCTATATAAAGTTATACCAACTATGAAACATTCCTTAACCAGTAATTTGTATCGAACTAAATCTTGTGCTTTTGAATTTCTAATGTTTTTGATAGTTTCCATAAGGATGTTTTCAAAACTCAATATATAGTTTGTTTTTTTGCGAATATATTGATGGAATCTGTAAATCGAAATAACGCTGTCTAGATTTTTAGGTGATTGTATTGTTTTCCTTCTTGTGATATGGTTTCTATTAGATTCCATATAAAGTACACTTTTAAATACAATGTGGGGATGAACTATAAATTAATCTTGTCTAATAGGGAGGGATAATCATATGTAGATGCTATAGATGCTCACCTGCCTTGCCGCATCCGACTGCCTCGGTTCCATTGGCGCAGGTGCCCCACATATTGGCGGTGTAGTAGGTCCATTGCAGGACGCACTGCGTGCAGGTGACATATGGCGGCAGTCGCACCCGATATCGGAATATATCCTTCTTCTTGGCATCGCGCGGGATGAGGTACCGGTGCTCCCGACTCCCGGAAATTGGCAACGGATAGCGGTCAAAACATTGCTGGGTGGCCTCCTGCCGGGGATTGTTGTTGGGGCACAGGAACATCTCAAAGCGACCATAGTGATTGGCCGTCAGCTCCACCTCGACTTCGATTTCCTGACCGGCCGTGTAGTATCGAGAGATGATGCCCTTGGCATATTCCCCGCCAGCTTCATGGGGTCTTGGGGACTTTACGTGATAGGCATCGCCGCAGACACCACAACGTCCACTGTTCTTCTCCCATTGAACCGCATATCCGCCGCAAAAGAGCTCGTTATCATTGTAATTTACGGGATTGGGATAGCCGAATCGCCACATGGCATTCCTCGCCGGCGGATCCATCAAACGGCCATGTCCTCGCACCGATATCACCAGTTGGAGGAGTATAAGTCCCAGCTGGAAAGTATTAAATATTAAGTATTAAGTATCCCATGGCTTTCTGCCCCTTAACTACTTACCACTCCCACTGGCAGAACGCCCATTTTGGTGGCTGTCAAGTGTCGCATCCTCATCCCCGAATCCCCGATTCCCAGATGGCTAGAATGCAAACAGACATGGAACATGATATAGTGCATCGGACTGGGGGCTTAAAATCGAATGCATTTTATCAACAAACGGGTTTTTGGGCCATCCAAACAGTGGAACTATTTAAACAGCCACAGATCCCCATAAATAACTTACTTTTGCATGCTTTACTGAACTAACATAAGCTTAAAATAGTGTTAATCTTAAATATTTACAAATGATTATCTTATAACAACTCGTAAGTTAACACTTTAAATACAAATTCTTAGCTTTTCTTAAGAGGCGTATAAAAAATGTAAGAATTAAAGTTGTCCATGCTAGAAATTTGAAAATTAAATGTATTACTATTTAGGTTTATGGACTAATTTACCTAAGAATTATTAAAATTTGAATCAGGTTCTATAATAACGATGATTTGTAACCTTTTCTTTTACTAAGTATGAGTGTTTAAAGCCTGAAATATATGTGCTTTTTAGCCTAATAAATAACAATTTAATTAATAATTTTGCAGACAAGCCTTTGATGAGTTTGTAATTGATAATGGCAAATCATTTCCTCCACTTTTTCACCACTGTGAGCAGTACTTGGTGCAATAACTGCTGACTGCAAGGACGTCCACCTGATCCGCTTTTCGACTTTATGGCCGGTGCCCTTTATAAATAAATTCATGCCCACACACACAATCTCGAAGAGACCCAGACAGACGGGGATAAATGCAAGTATATTTGCCACTTTTTGTTTAAATAATTTTTTTGCCCTGCTCTCATTCCCTTTGAGGCTTATCTTTATGTTAAACATGTTTGCTCGCTTGTCCAGGCGGTGAAAAAAAACGAGAAAAACATTATCAATGGATAGGCCCTCTTTTTTTTCATATGCTCCGTAGGTTTTTCAATTTTGAACATTACTTTTAATGGCATCATCTAGTTTACGCATATTCAAGGGGGGCGGAAAGGGAAATCTGCTGCATAAACGGGTTTACGACGGGCACTTGAACTTGGTCCGGCCCCCAACAAATCGAAATACAAAGCTTTGAGCGACGATTTCTGGGCTAAAAATATATATGCAGATGTTCGAGTTCGATTCTCATTAAAAACCAAGAGTTCACTGAGAAAAAAGGTATGCAAAATACAATTAAAGCAGTCCACACTTTTTTGATAAGTTTGAATTGAAAACTAAAACATACTAGTATTAAAAATATTCTACACTTAGTAAAGTTAAAAAAAAAAAGAATAATATATTAAGGGGAATTAAAATTGATTTATTATGTGTAATAATTGTGTAGTATATATTAGATATTATATTATTAAAAAAAATTTTATTTAATATTTTTTTACGATTAAAATTTTTTTCCATTTCTCCACGTGTGCTTTTATTTATTCGCATTCTTAATGCCCAGCATTCAGCATCTTCCCCATCAAGCCATTCTTCGATATAAATGGCTTAAAAACAAATTGATTTGTCCATCGGTGAAAGACCAAAACAAGATAGAAGAAGACAGAGAGGAATCTCAATATATTCAGAAATATTTTAGTAAATATTTTCTTTTTGTTGTTGTTTTTAGCCTTTTGGCCATTGACTCTGTGTGGCAGTAAACTTGGTTATTTAACGAGCCGCAATTATAATTTTTACAGGGTGTTTCGGGGGCATAAGGAAATTGGCTGTAAATGTGATTTTATAGCTCATAAATTTATTAATAATATATTGATTTTTTTATTACATTTCAATAAGCAGTTGTCAACCAAAAAAAACGAAAAACTGAAAACAAAATTGGCAAAGAGTAAACAGAACATTACGGTGACAGGTTATTCGATGACTAAGCCCTCGATTAGCCGCCAATGCGGTTAATTAGAAGTTTCTGTAAGCCAGAAAATGGTTCCTTCTTTTTCTCTTTAACCCTTAAATGGGCAATGAGTTTAAATTAAAAAAATGGGATTTAGAAGAAAATGTAATTCATGTTATTTAAATAGACTATTTATTTCAATCCTTAAGCAATGCTTACTTAAAATCTATTCTGATAAGTGATTTTTTGGGTGATATTGCTTAAGTTTTTCTTTATTCTTAACCACCTTATAAATTTAATATTTTGTTGAAAAAAACTATTAATAATCTTGTCTATAATATAGAAAAATGTCAACATAACAAGAGTTAAGGTCTCCTTTGAGTAACCCCTTCCCATCCGATTTTTGCCGACGATGTAATTAAGCATAAGTGCTTGATTTTTAATTGGACCGCCGAAATCAATAATGTGCCAGGTGGAAACTGCTTGGCGTTAAATGAGCGTGTTGCACAACAAAGTAAAAATCGAAGGGAAAAAGGAATTAACCGTCTACCAAAAAGGAGTAAATGCTGAGTAAGCGAAACAGGATGAAAAAAATGGTAGAAAAAATCAGAAAAAAAAACGTCCTTGCAATAACCAACGACGTTTATCATAATTGTCAGGCCATCGTTGATGGCCAAATTAAAATGTACGAAATTTGCAGCCGGGCGACGATAAATTGAAAACCATGGCAGAAATTAAGTTGTAAATTAAGCAAATTGCACAGCCAAAAAAAGGCAGCCCACCAACATTGGCTGCTGTTTGATTGTTGTTTTATTTACGTTGCGTGTGTTTTCATTACGCAATCGAACGCAGGTCCCGACTTAAACGTTTACCCCCTTGAAAAAAACGGAATAAAAGCACTCGAATGAAGTGCAAAAGGAGGAATGTATTTAATGTACTACATATCACCTTATGCAATCGGTGTCTTGTACTTGGGGCCTGGGGTTTTAGGGCGTGACGGTGTCCGAAAAAGGCAAGTAATAAAGTTGTCAGATGGGCAAACTCACGAAGTGTCAAAAGTCAGGTAATAAAAGGGACACAGGGGTATTTAAATTTTGGTAAAATGTTGACCTGTCTGGTGTATGAAGTATTGAAGAAATATATAAACTCATGTTTTAATTACATTTAAAATGAATAATTCACATTCAGAAAATTAAATCTTAGATGAGCCATTTCATTATTGAGAAGCTAAATATGATATATATTATTTGTAAAATAATAATGAAATAATAATAATAATAATAGGAACATACATTCAGATTAGAACGGCTTTATAAAATAACAAAAAACATTAAGAGTCAATTAAATTACCAGCTGTCCAAAAAATAAAGAATTTATATTTCGTTCACATAAATATCATAAAAAAAATCCAAAGCCAGGCCACCAAAAAGAAGCTTAAATGTTTTCAATTATTTCTTCCGTTTGCCAAATGAAACAATTCGATTTTTAAGGTACTCTGTTAATATGGCGCCGGACAAAAGTGAGTAACCAAATATGTGGATATAGAAGCGAACAAATTAGAAGCCCACACAAAAGAGAACTCGACGAATGGGCGACATAAATAAATCAGAAATAATGATATCGATACGCATAATAATAATAATCATCACCATCATCAATATTTTCGTACAAGTCACGATTCTGTAAGCGGCATGACAAATTGATCATCCGCACCCCTTTTGTCCCTCGTGTTCCCCAATATTTTTAAGACCCCTTTGGAGGTCGCCCGAAAAATATTCAACTGATTTGCAAACTGGAACTGTCGAATGTAAATCGGTTTATAAAGCCTTTTTTTCTAGCATTTCTCCTTCTTAATTGCTTTCCGAAAAGTCACTAATTGGTTGGGGGAGCGATAAGTTTGGAATTGGCACAAAGAAATAAATCTATAGCGATGAGCAGACTATTTTGTATTCAAAATTTGTTTACAGCGCATTTCTTGTTCTCGCTAATGGCTCTCTGATGGCTCAACTTTATACGTTCACAAATAAATAAAACATAAATTAGTTGAGCACACCTGTAAGTGTCTGTCAAGTTGAGAGCGATGGAAAGAAGTCTATATAGGGGAATAAGAAGAAAAAGTTAAATTTTGTTCTGTTTTAATACTATAGACTTAGCCAATCAATACAGCACTTTTAATGAAAATATAATGCTTATATTTTATATTTAATGGTTTTAATTGCTTCAAGATTTTTAAGATGTCTTTACATTTGTTGCCATTTTTAATTACTGTTTCCTTTATTTTACAGAAAGATAGAAGTTTCTGGCTTAACCTTTTATTATTAAGTTCTTTAAGGTATTTTCTTAATATTTTACATATTCATTGGCATTCCTTAGTAACTTTTTCTTTAGTCTTCTTTAATTTTCTGTTTGTGTACCACTTCACTGATAGATCGAGGTGATTTTTTCCAAGAGGGGTTTATGGGGTGTCCAATTCAATGGCCTGGACTTTTCACGAATTTCAATCACGTAAGCAAACATGCAAAGCATGGAGCATCAAACATGCGTAAATTTTATAATCAAGACAGGGCTTCAATTGATCGGTGATCGTTGATCGTTGATCGGATCGAATCAATGCTATATAGCCGCCTTCAAGGCAAGAAAAATGTGTCATTGTGTCAATTGGATTGGCGTTGTCCAGAAATAAACCGCAAATGAATCAAGCGACTTGGCAACGATTGCCGAAAACAAATGGCCCAATTAATGGCTTAGAATCAAGTTGGCTTTCATGCACAAAGACCGCCCAAATAGTTAGCCAAAATATCCAGTTTGGTTTGAGGCATCGCAGAGATATTTCCGTTTTCAAAATTTCTTTTGTTAGCGATCCGCTGCAAATTTATGGCCAACTGACAGGCGTGAGAACAAGCGTGCCAATCTCTTTTTAAGTCCGGCAAAAAAACCTGGTAACTGAAACTGGCTGGCTGTGCATCCTTGCCACTTTTGGTATTTAAAAAGTGTTAATCGAAAGCGAAACCGGGGGTCAGTAAACGTCGTAACGGCCCCGGCGAAGGTCAGTTTTGGAATGACAGCGAAGAAGGCTTGCAGAGGGATCAGCTGATGGCGATCAAGATCTTTTACACTTTGCACTGAGAAAAAATGAGCTAGAATACTATTATTTTAGGTGATGATTTTTGAATTGTATTAATTGTATTAATAATTTCCTTAAGAGTTGATCATTCACATAAAAAACTAGCATTGATAGTCCATTGTGAAATTTAATTTAATCTTTATTGACATACGTGCTTTATAAATATATGTAGGGGCATAATTAAAGAACTACAATTTAAAAATAGTTTCCATAGTTTTACGAATATGTATATTTTATAAAAAGAAATTACGTTTCTCAGCCATAAAATGAATAAATTGTAAATGCACCTCATAGATATCTTTGCAATTGCACATAAGAAAGTACAACTAATTAAATGCCCACCTTTTTGGTAGAAAGTTGCAATGAAATCGAAATTGTCTTGCGCAACAATCGAAATAAATAACTTTTGCTTTCTATCGAGTGGACCCAAAATGTCGAACTCCAAAAACGGAGAGCCACCAACGTGAGGAAAATGATATTGGGCTTGTCTATATGCTATATAGGCTTGAACATAAAAACAACGAGGCGATATTTTGAGTCATTGCATAGGGTTTTTATTTGGGGTTTTGCTTACTCACAGCTCATTGAAATGCACGCATAAAACTCGGGGCCCTCATTCCACTTTTCATAGCGGGTTCTATGGCATTAACTGCACTTGGTCCCCCCTTTTGCCCATTCCGCGGGGCCACTCATCCCCTTTTCGGTATGCCGATCAGGTATTTGTCCACTTTTCAGTTCAACGGGGATGGGGAGTTGTGGGTTTCTCGGGATATTCGGGGCTAATTTGATTATTTGAATGACAGCGGAGCAGAGCAGAGAAAGGGGGAACTCGAAAGGGGCACTCGAAATGCTCGAGCAGGTGCAATCGGAATTTCGCTGGCAAATGTCGCTGAACTCCTAATATTTTTTCGGATACGTTTTATGAAACGCTTTCTGTTTACTTTTATGTGGTATTCTTTTCGGGTATAAAAACTTTTTTATTTACTTTTATTATTTTTATTGTTATACCCTTGAATTCAAATTCCGCAGCCAGGCGTACTATTGTCTCTTTTTTATATATATTTATTTATGGTAAACATATTATTTTAAATGTGTATTTGTTAATTTTCGTGGACGGAATATAGTTCAAAAAAGATTTGTAAAAATGAAGCCCAAGTAAACAAACATTAAAGTGTCATATTCTCTTTTTTGGAATTAAACTAAGAGGTACAGGTAAGAAATATTTATATTTCATTATTAAAAAACACAAAGCCAAAGGATTTAATTTATTCCTTATACAAGGATTTAAATTTTACAAATTTTTTGTATCATACAAAAATATACGAAATGTATACATTTTGAAGCAACTTTATACATATTTTATTGTTATTATGGCTAGTTCCTTGTTTTCTTTAAAAATTTTTGTATAATTTTGAAAATAGTTTGGAACTTTTTAGATTTAACTTAGTTAGCTATGATTTTTTTTTTGCTACTACTTTTAATATCGCCTTTTTTGTGACTTTCTTAAATTCATGTTTTTTAAATGACATCAAATCAAAATGCACAGGCGAAAACCGTCACTTAAAAAATAGTTTCCACTTATTGTTGACCATAAACTTGAACTTGAGTAAGTTACCTGAATATTTTCGTGTAATTTACGCTGTACTCCGCAAATAATTGGCACTTAAAATTGTTCACGCACACAAAAAATACAAAACAAAACTCGAAAAAAAATACGTTGAGGTATCGAAAATTTTAATCGTTGAAGTTTTGAAATTTCTGCAAACTGGAAACAGTGATTTAAAAATTTTTTTGAAAATTCCTGCAAGCCGGCTTGCTTGGGCGACTTGGGCGGCGAGGGCGTGGCGTTGCGTGCGTGTGTGTGTGTAGGCGGTGTGTGTATGTGCTTTGTGTGTATGGGTGTCTTGGACGCGTGCTTTGCGTTTGCGCAGCGGCTACGTTCTGAGTTCGTTTGCCGCTCGACGATCGAATTTCAACGACTTTTGAGTGCGCGGTACGACGGCAGAAGGTAAGCAGCGACGCGACAGAGACGTCAGCAGAAGCGGCAACAACAGGAGGAGCAACAACAACAAAAGCAGGAGCAACAACAGCAACAACATTAAGACAAAAAAACAAATACGCAAAACATATACGCTTCCGAGTCCCGTCTTTATAAACCATACTTTTTAAAAGGGTATTATAATTGAAGTACAAAGTAAGTGAGACGTTTCAAATGTTCAATTTATATATAGATATATATGTGGATATCATCCGCTTCTATACTGTTTGCGAGCTAGCGACATGAAACTTTTCAATTTATCCTTTTAATCAACAAATTTTGCATAGTTTAGTTGGATTTAAAATAAATAAATAGAACTATCTTCGAATTATAAGACAGCGTAAATACATTTCGTATTTAACTAAAATCGAAAATTTAAAGACCAAAAGAACGATCGGTTGGAAATTGTATGAAGTTGGGGTTTTTTTTAAATAACTGACTTGTATACAAATTATACTACTACCAATGCTGCAAGCGTATTTACACGTCGTCTTGCCAAAGACAACTTCCTATCTCGTTTTTATTTTAATATTGGCCACGCAGCCACGACGTTGCTGCTGCTGCGCATGCGCAATGCGTTGGTGTTGCTGGTTGTTGTTGCTGCTCTTGATGTTGCTGCTGCTTGTGTTGCTTATGATGTTGCTACTGTTGCTTAGTTGGTTATGGTTTATATTTACTAGGACTTCATATGTTGCTGCTTGCGCATATGCAACCTGCAACTTGCAACTGTTGCTGCTGCTGCTGCGGTAAAAAAGCCAAGTGAAGCCTTAGCGACACATCTTCCTTTTTTCTCTTTGTCTTACAACCTGTTAACCCTTCGGTATTCAATGTTTGTTTAATTTTTTGAATTTAATTTTGTAAATGGGATTAGGGATTTATATAAATAATTGAGTTGATAATTTAAAAGTAGAATGGAAATAAAAATTATAAGCAAACTATGTAATTTTAAAGTTTAATTCTATTTTAAAATAATAACAATAAAATATACATTTAAAAATAATGACAAAAAAATTTAGAAATAAAATCGAGTACAATTTATTTAGCAGTTTTTATTAATCCATTTATTTTTCAGACTTTTAAATGTGTTTTTTTAACAATTAAAAAAAAGAACATATTTATACAACTTAATGAGTTTAATATGGTGATAATTTTGATCTATTTATATGTTTTTAAAGAATTTCAATTGAAGGAATGTGTGTTGAAGGAGAAGTCAGGACTACTTGAGATAATTACCCCACCGGTCCATCAACTGATTAATTGGCTGGATCTCAAGGGTTTAGACTTTAGAATCAGAGCTATTTCCGTAAGCCAACTCAGCAAAGCCCCCGAGCGAAAAGAGCCAGAGTCAAAGGCGTAGTTACCGCGGAAGAAAAGGGGGGCTTAGGTATATGAATCTTGCGGCCAACCAGTGCTATTTAATTACCATAAAAAGAAAAAAACTCTGCACTCTAATCCCCCTTAATTTCCTATTAACAACACCCTTGGACTGCGTCTCATTTATGTCACAATCCAGCCGACCAGATTTTGATTTATGTCGTCCACTCTGAGTGCTGAATATGAAATCAATAGATCGATTTCGGGCTCTTTTCGCTTGCAAATTGAAATCGTGACTTGAAGCTTTAGATAAGACACGGCCCAAATGTAATTGGCGGAACAAAAAAAAATATAAAAAAAGTTTAGAAAAAATGTCGAAATAGAATACCTTTAAAAACCCATAACAACTTTTTCTCTAGCGCGGTTCAATGAACTGCGATTTTTGAAATGCCCGCCTTCATTTTCGTATAACAGTTCGGGGAAATTCCGCACAGCTGTTGGTCTGATTTTGTAATATTCTCGGAGAGAGTTTTTCCAGCTGCGCAGGACTGGGAGAAAGTCCCAGAGCGAGAGAGAAAAAGAGAAAGAGAGAGCCGGGAGAAAGACGAAGAAGCCGGGAGAACTTACCAGATGACAGAGTGAATTTCCCTTATTGGCGAAACTTCTGGCAGCTGGTCAAATTTTAGGATTTCGTCCTGGCTGTGATTCCTGTTTCGTCCTTGTCTGCGACATGACTTCTTCTCTTCCTTTCCTCCTCCTATCCCACCCAATCCCCTCTTTCTTTTGGTTTTCCGCTCGTTTTTCCCACCACCACCCACGGAATGATTAGGTAAACAACAGCGGAATGCCTTGCCCAAAATTCAATTTAAAATTTCTACCAAAACTTTAAAGCGAAGAATCCCTGCTTTAATTTTTAATTCACTCGAAATTTATCATTTGGGCTTCTTATGTATATATAATTTTTTTAGCTTTTTATATACATATATTTTTCATACATTTTTTTGTGTTGCCTTAGCATTAGCATACTTAGCCAGGCCCAAGCACATTACACATACGCACCGTTGGCTCCGCACTTTCACCTCTGCCAGGGGTTTAGAGGAAGGAGAAGGGGGGAGGGGAGGGGGTCAGGTTAGCCAGGGCTGCCTTCATTCACTGGCAATTTACATGCTTTATTCGAGTAATTTAATTGCAAATGTCCCATTAGTGGCAAAGTGAAGGGCCAAAGGGGGTGGTTGGGTGGACTTTTGTATGGAGGGGCAGGGGTGGTCCTTGAGGGGGGGCAAGGGGGTCACAGAATGGGACTTAGATTATAACCGTGCTTAGCTGCCCAATGTTAAGTACCGGCAAGTACAGCGCACATATATTAAGCTACACATAAAGCAGTTTATACCCAATTCTACTCAGTTTTCTTTAAAATTATAACAACTTAAATTTGTTCCAAGTAAATATTTATAAATACGATTCTCATAGTTTGTATAAAACGTTTTATTATTAAAAATAATATTTATGCTATATATTTGCACTCTATTTTATTAAAACTATCTTGTAAAGAGACTTCATTTATTTAAACCCAAATATCACAAGTATTTTCTATATTAATTGCTATAGATTTATTATAAATGGCTGGCTTTAATATCAGTTTTACGTCCATTTATTTTACTAATTTAAATCAGAATGTCTACATTTTAGTCACTTACATTTTTGTATTGTTTGCTAAAGGTTTCGGTATAAATTTTAAACTGTTAACACTGTGCCTGCTTCAGATGTTTAAAAAAGGGTAACTGAAGAGGGTCTAGAAAGTGTTTAGGGGAGTGCGGGGCCTAAAGAGGTGTTGGATGTGGGATTTGCAAGATGCATAGTTCTCGGTGCCCCTTTGACCCCCCCCTCCCCATTTGTCGGTGTGACATTTCTTGGGCTCTGTTGTTGGTTTTGCAAGTGTCATTAACATAGCCAAGCAACCGCAAAAAAGGGCAAAATGCATCTCTCAAAATAAGGAGAATAGGGGGAAAAAAAAAGAAAAATAGTAGAATAAATAGAAAAACAGCAAGCAGAAAAATAGAAAAAAAAACCCATAGACATATGCAAAGGCTCTTCACTGTCTCCTGCTATTTTTCTATGTGAGTGTGTGTTTTTTTGGTGCCAGTGTGTTTGTGACAGGCCAAAACTAACAACAACAAGCTCACGAAAAAGCAGAAAAGAGAAACAAATGCAGAGAAAAAGAAAATAATAAATAAAACTGTCACATAAAATAAGGCAAAAGATAGGAGGATGCTGCTGTGGTGTTTTTTTGTAGGGGTGTTTGTAAGGCATTTAGCTATGCAAAAGTGCTCATCTCAAAGTCCTGTGGACATTACCAGCAAAATGTTACTTAAATAGGCCAAACAAATACATATATTTTGTATATGCGGAAAACTCACATTCACAGATATGCAGATAGTAAAAGTGCTGACATTTATGACTGAGATAAAGCATTTTTTATCGCAAAACTATTGTTCACCAAAATCAAGTGACATCCGCAAATAATATGTCAAATGCGATTCGAGTTTTCTTGAGAAAAATATTGAACTTTTCATGGCCATTATGGATGTTTATTTAAAGGGGAAATATATATTTATTTGTAAAATGGAAAAGTAAAATAAGAGTGGGCAACTTTTCTTCAAGTTACACATATTAAGTACCAATGCAAGAGATTTAAAAAGCGTAAATACTTTACTAGCTTAATCTTAGTTATAACCCTTTTAATTAATACTTTAACATACCCCTGAAATACACAATTTTATAAAATAGATATGTTATAATTATAAAGAGATTGCAGAACCAAAATGATACTATAAAAAATTTGAATAAATTGAAATTTAAATACAGCCAGGGCCATAAACTTTTGTGATTTCTCTGTCGGCTGGTAACAAAAGTTTCCCCCTCAAAAGTCGAGGGTTCAATGCACCCTCGCCCCTTTTCATCTCACCCTTTTTTCATAAAACCCCATCTAAGTCGAGTTCACCTACGCCCATTAAAAACGTGGCAGGGTGCCAGCTAAAAAAATAGAATTCCCTTGTAAACCAGCCACAAATATTTACATATAGTGTGCAAATTTATTTAAGGCTAGCCATTAAAATATTGAATTCTGATCTATCGAAAGTTGCTCCAGTCTTGGCGTTGATTGTTGATCGTTAAGGGCAATTTTCGTTTCGGGCCATCGTAAAACAAAACGGCGAACGATCTACAAAACTGTCATAATCTCGTTATGATCTCCATATCAAACAAAACAAGATTGGTGTATATAAAAACTATGGCATAAAAACGAAATCGATGAATAATTAAGAGGGGATGATAGATATTTAATAGCATTAAGAGTACTTAAAATTTGATTTTATTTATTTGCGTCATTAGCAGTAAGATTGTCTGACACTTTAATACTTTTTGCCTAAAATATTAATTTATTTTTTAACGTTTCTTAATTATACTAAGAAATTTAATAAATGTTTTTCTGAAAAATATTAATAAATATAAAAACGTTTTATTTCATTTTTAATCATTTCATAAATTTATTATCATCTAATCTCATCTAATATGTCATTAAATACAAAT